AGAGCTAGGGGGCTTCCTTGCAATGGATGGTTTGACTTGGATTGTAAGCAAGCGAGGATGAGATCAGTTGACAAGTCTTTGGATTTCCTAGTCGGCTTACCTTCACAAGGCTTTACAAAGACTTGGTGAAGTCTAAAAAAAGAGCTTTTTTGAGGACGAAGCAGGAATCCTTGACAAAGGAGTTGATGGAGAATCCCAAATCCTTTTGGAGACGGTTAGCTGTAAGGTCTTCAAAACCTACTCTTGATCCCAAGAGTTTGATTGACTTTGCTGAAAAGCTTTATTTCTTTCCCAATGCTGCATCAATGCCATGTTGTGAAGGAACATCAGGCTTATTTTCTGAATCAGAGGTGATGACTCAAGTTAGAAAATTAGCAAATGGTAAATCGGAGGATTTGGATGGTCTCTCTATTGAACTTTTGAAGTGGGGAGGAGATGTTATTGGACCAAGACTCACCAAAGCGTTAGAAAATGCAGCTATGTATGGTTTTCCTTCAGCTTGGTCATTACGGAAGATTGTGCCTATTCACAAGTCAGAAAGGAAGGACTTGGTGACAAACTATCACACTATCATGGTGGGTAATGTTTTTGCCAAGTTGTTTGGCAAATTGGTGGAGTCAAAGTTGAGCACATGGATTGAATCTCATGGAAAGAGAGCGCGGTTTCAAGCAGGCTTTCGCCCCACATACAACACCATTGACCATATCTTGGCTTTGCGTGTTTTATGTGAGAAGTCGAAGGGCAACGGCAAAGCTTTGTTTTGCGCCTTCATTGATTTTAAGAAAGCTTTTGACACCGTACCTCGTGAGCTATTATGGGAAAGGCTGCAAGTCATTGAAGTACCATCACATCTTCTAACAGTTGTGGCCACGCTTTATCAATCTGTTCGAGCCAAGATCAACACTTCTCAAACTGAAGAGGTTTTGAGTACCATTGGAGTGATTCAAGGTTGTACTCTCTCTCCTACTCTATTTGGAGTTTTTATAGATGATATCGAAGAGTGGTTGGAGGCATGTGATAGTAAAGGTGTCAAGCTTGGAAACTTTGTTAGCAAAGCTCTCTTGTATGCAGATGATATCATATTACTAGCACGTGATGCAATTAGTTTACAGAAACACCTATACACTTTGGCTAGCTTTTGTACCCAGAATCAGATGGAGGTAAATATAGAGAAGTCCAAAGTCATGATAGTGGGCACTAGATCCAAGTTTTCCTTCTATTACCAGGATCTACAATTAGAAGAGGTGAAAAGTTATAAATATCTAGGCATTGATTTTTCTAACGATTATAGTTGGGCACTTTGTGTGCAAAAGAGAGTAGAAGGTGGTTACAAAGCTCTATATTCATTGCTAAATCGGTGTAGAAGGGCTCATCTTGTGTCTTGGAGTCTTAGGAAATTTTTATTCAGAAGCTTAGTGTTGCCGGTAGTATTGTATGGAACCCAAGTGTGGGGTCCTGGTTGTAAGAAGACAGGATGCAGAAGATATTTCTACAAGAAGAATTGGGTGTGAGAAACCAAACCTCATATGCTATTGTTCTTGCGGAAACATGTTGTTTACCTCTAGAGGCTGAAGCTCTATACTTGACCATCACTTACATCACAAGGGTGAGATCTCTTGATGCTTCTCGCCTTCCTCCTCAGGCTTTGAGTGCCACACGTGCCAAAGGATGGTTAGCGGATGTGATAACTTGGTCTTTGAGGTGGAATGTGACGGAACGCGATTGGGACCTACAACCTATAGCACTACGTGAACGTCTAAAGGAGGAGTTTTTGAACATTATTTGGAGCAAGCGCGGCATCAAGATGCAGTTTTATCAACTTCATGTGAATCCTATGCTTGTTTATTGTGAACAGGATTACCTACTTGCAGGAATCTTTACGTCCTTACGTCATATTATTGCTAGGCAAAGAACTGGATCTCATAGGCTTGGAATTGAGGAAGGACGTTGGCTTAATATTGATAAGAGTGAACGTATTTGTAAGCTATGTGATGGAAGAGAAGTTGAGGATGAAGAGCATGTATTTCTTACTTGTACTAGATATGCAGAGATTAGAGTGACACATAATATAGATGTAGAGAATTTTTATTCTTTGTTACAGTTAGTTTCTTTTGATTTAGGTTGTTATATTAGGGATATTATTAGTTATCGTTCTAGTGCTCTTGGCACTAGCTAGGGTTTGGCCTTTGGGGTCTTTTCCCTTGTTTGTGGCTGTCGCTTGTATTGTGTTTTTCAGCCTTTTGACCCTTCGGGTCCCCCGGGCTTGATCTATTACCATTTACCATATTTGTCACAAAGCAAAGCATATTGCGATCGCAATGGACCATGCGGATGATAAATCAAGACACCGTGGGGTTGGTTCGTGAGATTTTGACATTGACAGTTTAAACAACGGAAATTCGTTTGAATAAGTTGGCAAGGTAAACAAAAACAATCCAAAGAATTTGAAAGCTTTGGAAGACTTGTCTTCCCTCATTGACCAGTATGATACTAAATGCATTTACGACATGGACAAAACAGAGTTAGTTTTTCAAATGGTTCCACAATATACTGTGTTGATGCCTCGTGAAGACTTGATCACTGTCTGGAGCAAAAAACGAACAAAAGACAAGGTTACATTGGTGATGTGTTGCAACGTTGATGAAACATAACAAATTTTGATCACAATGATTAGAATGGCAAAATAATATGCTTGCCAAAAACATTTTATCCATTCCTTATTTTTATCAAAAGAATGCTTGTATCAATAATCTGGCATTCAATAAATGAGTTGATGATATCTTTTAGCATATTATTCGCGACAAAAAAGACACAAAGTGTTGTTGCTACTTTACAACAATGGTATTCGTGTTGACTTTTTTCTGACTAATGTTATATCTTTGGAGCAACTCATGCATATGAATATCATCACAGACCTAAAAAGAGTATACAAGTTCTTATGCTAAAGTATAATGTTCCATGTTATGATAATCTAGAACCAATTAAAGATCAACTTGAATTAATAGCTTTGAAACTCAAACGGTACGCCCTTGAGATTGCTTACGGAAGATTTCAACATTTATTTGAAGCTGCAAACTTTGCAAATGTTGCTTGGAACGACACTTCCATTCAAAGTCTGAAATTCTGCTGTAAAAAAGCTGATATTATTCTTGGATTTCACAGCGGTAATAATATCGGCTGCAACGATGATGCCACTTTCATTGACATTATTGAAATGTTAAACAACTGTAGCCTCTCGGTGGGTTTAGTAAAACCGATATTGGGAGCGAGATTGAGAATTGTATCAATGATGATCACAAGGATTTGCAGATGCATCAACAAAATTTACTTGAGGAAATCAAAAACGCTATGAATGTCATTGTTTTGGATCGGATTGCCGAATCTGAAGGGGCCAAAGCTGAACCTGGCCACAACGATCATGGTTATAATGATTGATTCACGTGATGTGATTTTTCACACAATGATGAATATTATCAAGCTTTATGTTGAAATGAGGGAGTTGATATGTTTACCTTAATTGTCATCGGAGCAGATTAATGGAGCTAAGTATCTCTCTTAACGTTGTGTTTTACATCACATAGGTACGTCATTGCCCGTGAACAAGTAGAGAATAGCCGTCAATTGATCATGTTTGAATTTTGTTGATAATAAAATTTATTATCAACAATCAACCTCAAGAATTTTGATACTTGAAATTTTGTCTGAAAACTGCGGACTTAGTCATGATGAGTACTTGTATAGGCGCAGACTTAACCAAGTGTATACTGTAGATCATTAGAATATAAATGTGTTTCCATCTTAAATACACTTTCTTTTAGTTTCAACTAATTAAAACCTAAATGTTTAAAAAAAATTTATAATCTTTTGAAGTATTGTAATCTTATATATAATTATTTATAATTATAATCCTATATATAAAGGAGTAACTTATTTTGTATATCTTAAAAAAGTATTATATGTTTTAAATGTATGTTTTTGATCTAGATATAATTTTTAGGTTTGTTAAATTTTTAGGTATAATTTTTCTACAATCTAAGCATTATCAGAATTGGCTTCTATAATTGCTTTGGCAAGGTTGAAATCTCTTGGTTTAACAACTATTAAGTTTTTTCTTACTTGCATCATGTACTTTATTTACCGTATTAAAGTTGCGATTAGATATGTTTTAGAATTAACTTGTCAAATTGGAATGTGATATTATACTAATTCCAATGTCAAATTACTAAATTGTTTTTCATTTAGAAAATGATTATAGTTATGCGTTATGATACTAAACATGAAATGTTTAGTATAGTAGTACAATAAATAATGCATCATTATAAATAACATAAAATCATACATATGGTATTTATTATGTTGAATGACATATATATCATTTTCATGTATAGTAATGGAAGAAATAATCTGATTATATCAAATTTAGGTTGCATCGGTGATTCACTTGTAATTGACTTATGAAAGATTGATTATTTATATTCTCTAGTGACATAAAAAAAATTCCAAAATAATAGTATGTAATCATCACGTGCTTTGTTTTAGAATTAATTCCATTTTCTGTTATGAATATAAAATTTGACATGTTATATTGAATATTCATTAAATTAATTATATTAGACATTATCATAGGTACTTTTGGTCAACATCGTACAATGTAACTTGCTTAGACCAAGTATTTGCATTTGCAAGATCACCGCGAACATGAGAATTAATTCTAGATAAAACATAACTTGTAAGTTAAATGCAAATTGATACTAAAATAACTCTCTAAAAAATGTTCCGGCACATTCCACTCGTTATAATATCTTTTTAACATTCTCAGGGGTTCGACTTTGTAATAGCTTACATGCAAATATACTACAAGTTGTGAAATGTTCACTGAAATGTGTGAAAATATCCAATGGCAATCTTCAGAAATACTAATCGTAAAGGCGATCCTCTCAATAGCGACTGGCATGGCAGACTTTCAGGTTTGCTGGAGCGTGGGAGACGGCGGCGAACACAAGAGAAGGAATTCGGCAGACGGGGAATGAACGGGTTCGTTCGGAACATGCTCCAAATTGTTCGGATGTTTTGTGATGTGGGAGACGGCGCATCTGACAATTCGGACCATCGCTTTCGCTTCAAATTCGAGTGCTGCTCCTGCTTCCGAGCTTTATGGAAGGGTACGGTTATCATCGGATGCCGACCATTCGACTCGAAGGCCCGCCCTTCCCTTTCTTGCTTCCTTCTCCGACCGAACTGGACCTAGGTCCTGTTTCTCGTAAATCCCTACACTCTCATTCGCGCCTCGTCTCGATCTCTCTGTTGCTGCTGCTGCTGCTCGTTTTCTGGCGAGTTTTCGATCGATGCACCTGCTCACTCAATCAATTCACGCCCAAGCCATTCTTCCAGAGCTGATCGGCACTCCGGTAGTGGCTGCGCACGGAGTTCCTCTTGCTTTCACTTTCTGGACACAAGTACAAGGAGGCAAGGAACGTCGACATTGCGAGTAAAGCATCGAATCATCTTGGGGGACTTGCGAAATATCCATCGGGTCGGATTGGAAGTGGTCAGCGGATTCGATTGGACGAGAGAAAGAGAGAGGGAGGATGGAAGAAAACATGTACGTTTTGATGCACCGCTATCATGATAGAGAGTACGACCTACGGGCTACGAGGAATGAGACCAATTGAGCACGTAGACGACCTGCAGTTCATTGACCCGCGTGGCTGGCCGTCATGGCCATGGGTTGCAATTGGGCGGTCGTTCTCCTGATTTTAATTTGTGATTCGGTGGCGTTTGGTCTGGCCATCGGAGCTGAACAACACAGAAGCACGGTGAGTTCCAATTCTTGCCTTTACCCCCTTCCTCCTTAAAAACGACTCGTTTCCCGGAGCGTGCACTTTGCACACTTCTGAAACGAGTCGTGTCCATCCTTCATTCAACGCGCGTCATGAATGTACCAAGACTTTCTTCCAGCCCGATCGACGAACACGAAGTTCCTGACAGCAGAATCACCCGAGTTTAGGAGGCCAAGACACTTGTCTGATGTCATCCACGACCGGCATCAGAACCACATCCAGAATCGCGCTTTCTTTATCCAGAATTTCTTTATCGATTCTGGTTAAAAAAATGAGCAAAGCCTTGAATTTAAACCATCCAGGCGTTCAGGAGCAGGTTAGAGGGAGCGCGAAGGGTGAAGGCAAACAGATAGAAACCTAGGAGGGATGTTGGTAGGAGTATGTCTCCATTTTGGTTGGTGGAGATGTACACAATCCTCTGTTTCATTCAGATTCGAACCCGAGCCATTCACCTCAAATTTGCATCAGGGGGAATGAGATTTTAGTATAAGACATTGGCAGCTCTCCGAGTGATAGATGCAATTCGGGCTGAATCCATGCCAGGCGTCCGAGTTACAGGATGGATGTGTCTGTACATGTCTCGGATATCCACAACGCCCTACAGCAAGATGGTGGGAGGGAGGTCATGGCAAGCGAGGCCTACCAATTACAAAACCGAATAAGAGAACAGAGGCCAGAAAGCAAATATACAAGTATTATCCATCTGAATGTCTTCTGAAAGTTCCGTTATATACTTCATTGACGACCGAAGGCAAGGTTCAAGGGTCTGCTGCTGCAGACATCTCGAACAGCTGAATCTTGTCTCCAGAGCTCTCCTGAAAACTTTGCTCCTACAAACAGCCTCTGCTGTATAGACTCTGGCCCAAGCGCCAGTGAAGCAAACCGACCAATATTCCTGGATACAGAGCTACACCACTCCACACAATGCGTAGCACTATTACGTACTTTCCATTAATTGTTGCTCCATAAACTGTTGTTGCTGCCCTGTGCTGTACATACTCTCCCTCTCTCTTGTCAACTGTTGCTTGAGAAGACGGGCAGTCTAGGTCACATCTCTCAGCATCATGCCCCCAGATGGACAGCATCTCTCGATCCATTCATGGTCAGAAGCAGAGTGTGCCCCATACCCTTACGAGGACCCGCAAATCTTTCCCAGAATCTGACTCCGCTTCTGAATCGATCATGTGCCCCAGAAGTTCTTAGCCTGTGACCATTCCACACCGGGCATGATGTCTATCCGGATCTTACGACCAGTGAAACGTTTTCTGTCTTAGAGCTCAAAAACCAGTCAGTCACATTTGAAGACATGATGCTTGTGTGAGTACACACTCAATGGACTACCTTTCATCAGCTGACCGACTGACGCGCATAATCTATTGATGTTCAGGCTACTGTCGAATACAACACTGTCGGGGCATATTACTACTGCGACTACACGACAGACATGTCGTCTGCAATGGGAGCTGGAGGATTCGTAGCCCTCCTCGTCGGTCATTTGATCGTCATGGGGGTGACCAAGTGTATGTGCTGCGCTAAAGCCGAGCTCAGTGCTCTGCACGGTGGACCTAAAGCCTGCGCCGTTGTTTGCTTCCTCATGGTGTGGTGAGAGTCTCTCTCTCCTCAACGAGTCGAGCCTTCTTCACGACCCTAGTGTCACGTTTGATTGCCAAATGTAATCACATGTTCTCAACCGTTCCCTGTCTCTGACACGCCAAATCTGAGACACTTCTTTTGAGCCATAATTCTATGTCAAACTAAAACTCTAGGTTTATACCACCTACTAACAAATTTCATGGAAGTGATGAGCTGGTCGACACTTCCTAAACCAAAAAAAGCCTCCTATGGACTAAAAAACCTTCTGAAATAACCTAGAAAATTGAAGAATTGAAGCATTTGAGAGAGAAAGATATATTTTCCCAGTTGTATATCCTAATGCTAAAAGCAGAAATCAAAATGGGGCTGGCTGAAACAAAACTGGAATGAACTCGACGCGTATGATGATTGTTAGGCCAAAAGAGCTTCTGAGAGGGGATGGGAGCAGATGGCAAATCGGAATGGATGATGATTTGTTGTCGGGGGCTGGGTGGAGCAGGCTTTCGTGGTTCATATCGAGCGTGTGCCTGCTGGCGGGGGCGAATCGCAACTCGGTGCACACCAAAACTCAGTCCATCGATATCAAGAACATTCCCATCACTTGCGAGATGATGCGTAAGGGCACTTTCGGAGCTGCTGCCGCGTTCGCCTTTTTCGACATCATTTTTTCCGAGGTCTACTACATTTTGATGACCAAGAATCCTCCCACAAACGCTGGCAGCGGGACGAATCCCAACTGGCAGGCCCATGGCGTTGGCAGCGTGGGATCGGGTTCAGCCATGCCCCCGCAACAATCTCCCTACGCATTATAGTCGATCGATTGTTCGTCCTCCGCCGTCGAGTCCCAGGATTGGAGGCCGAGAGAGGGTTTAGTTTCCAGGACCAGCTCTTGTGACGAGGACAGATTCCCACCATCCCTCCGTCGCTCGGCTCCATGATTCTTTCCCTATCACAAAGTGTACTAAAACATTGCGATTGATTCGATGAGCAGTTTCCCTCCGAATCGTACACAGCTCTGCATTTAGTCGGCCTTGACTACGATGGTTGTACCGACGGTCAAAGCAACACATGATCGAGATGTACCATTTGTACTGAGTGCAAGTTATGACCTTTCACACATCTTCTTGTAAGCTTCAGAGGAAGTGTAGAGTCTACTCTCCTTTCCTTTGTACATAGGAGTCTTCACTGTTGACTCCAGCTTACAAAGGAACGAGGCTTCTTGCGGGAACATGAAAGCGCTCTTGAAAGTTTTCACAGTGTGCATGGTCTGTTTGTTCCGATAGATTGGGAACACCTCAATAGTCGCGGTTCACATGGTGGTTCACATGTTGGCGGTAGTCATCGACTGCTGGCCATAATTTCGTTTTCACTTACTGTAAAACCTCCTCTGCTTAAGCGGCGATATTTTGCATAACACCAAAATGGAAACGACCATCTCGATGTGCCTCCATTATTCAGGTGGGGAAATTATCTCGCACTGAGCAATAGTTAGGTCAAGGAAAATCTCGAAAATTTACGAACAATTCCACACTCGCGGCTTACGAATACAGATTGTCTGCTCCTCTTTGAACGGACTAGATTGAGGAAGGAGGTGCCTGCTACACATCTAATTGATGTCATGATCTAGGAAAGAAAATATCACGTTGGATATTGTTGGTGTCGACTATGTGTGGGAGTCAAATGGAATATCTTCCTCTGAACTAGTGTACTTATTTATGGTTTTGGTTCTCTACGTTTCACGGCCTAATATTTGGCATTGACCGAAAATGTGGTTTTTCATTTCCAACTTTCTTCGGCTCCGGGTGTGACTATTCGTTTAGGTGTCAACACGTCAAGTGGCAGAGTACGAGTAAATTTCTTAGCATTCGAACCACGTGACATTCACCATTGCGTGTCGTTCAGGAAGTGGAGAACACCTCTGGATTAATGGGTAATTACGATGTTAGCATTCCCTCATCCTCACAGACCATCTAAATAAACATCAATTACAGGCTTTCGAAGGTCTTAGCGACACTCGCGGCTTTTCCGACCATGCCAAACCTTACAAACGCCTGCATCTTCCTTCACTTACAGTTCCACGCCCATGATATTCGTATCCCTCCATGACCTGAGATAGCCTCTTCCGACCGCTCTCCACGGTACAGACGTTAAACGTAGAACAGTCTCCTCAGTGATTCGTTTCCGATAAATTCTTCCACGCCTCAGACCAACCCTGATACCGGCCGACCAGATTTCCAAACCCTTTCGAATCACAACGATGTGATCTGAATGAAGCAGTAAAAGATGCTATACAGAAGACATGCCGTAAAATCCTGCTCTACCTTCCGCGAGCCCCTCCTGACATGAGAGTTCAAAACCTGCATCCCTCTACTCCCGTTGAAATCCAACATCCCCTCTGCAACTCCCTATCCGCTCCATCCGCGAATCTTCGCGTGCAAGGTCCGACACCCCATTTGATGCGACAAAAGGATCCTCTCTACCCGTGAGTTCCAGGGACAACAGTCAAAGCCACGAGGGCAACTATTAGAACAACGTGTTCAGAGTTCATATCCTGCGAGTGAAAGCTATACCTAAACATTAGTCTTCATGGTCAATATATGACTGCTAATACACGATAAGTTACATAGTTCCGGTACAGGGCCCCCAGACCAAAGCATATCAAGTTACGTGAGTCATATTCATTACATGAAATTCAGGACAGGCTTAAGGTCCATAACAACTGTGAGGTATTAACTTACATGCCTCCTGCAACTTCCTGAGTTAACAGGTATGCGCACGGCCTCCACCAAATGCATGCCAAGCTAAGAAACCGGAGGCTAAGCAGACCTCCCAATCACAGCCTAGCGCAACAGATTTGACATAGAAAGAATAACGGAACAAGGTGCCCAGGTGCTAAATTTTCCACCCCCAAAGTGCAAGATAAGCCCGGACAATGCAGATAACTAGAACCTTGTAAAGCCTGAATGTACGTGTCCAGAGTGGGACAGCACAACTCTTCCTACAATGTAAAGATGGGTCAATCGGGTCGGGTCCACGATTAGTTGAATTCAGCTCCATTAAGGTCGGATAGAATTCAGAGACGTAGACACGAGGTGCGGAAGAGACACCCATCATTCATTGCTCCAATATATGTTAAGTACAAAAAATGAGTGAAACCTGGCCTTCACTGACTCGTAAGAAGATTTCATAGTATGAATTTTTCTTACTCATACTTCGCTTCATCCACTTCCTGCACCCGAGCTTCTGTCGCTCGCCAGGAGGGGGCAGGTAGATGGACTTCTATCCTAGAAAACGACTTCCACATTATAACCATTCTCGTTTGCTGCCTCTTTACTCTCAGTAGAAAAATCCCAAAACCTTTCCTCCGACGTTCTTTCTTCGGGCTTCGTCGTGATCGATGATACCAGCGGACGTGGTCAGCACGATGAATCCGAACTGTGATCAGACGTCCACAAAGAAATACCATAATGAGATTAGACATTTTAAAATCTGCCAATACCTCCCCGAGGTTATAATTTTAGGTTCCAACATTTTGAGTTGATAAAGGACATGACAGTCAACAGTTCTGACTCAGGAGGCGAGAATTTTCACCCCATAACTCGCAGCTATGTTCGAAGAAGGAGACATGACCAGAGAGTGAAAACAATGAAGCTGTAATTTGCATCCCCCGAAGATTACCTGACGGGAAGGCAAAAGTCTGGCGGTCCAATCTTCGAGCTCTGACACACCGATGTTGTAGCGAGGACTGATAACCCCGCACTTGTTCAACCTACCGTTGAGTTCAACAACAATCTTTCCTGCTCTGTGGTCATCCACGAGCTCGAACTCTCCGATGTAGCCTGAAAAGGCGGATATGTAGTTAGTTAAATGGATCAACAAACGGAGCAAAAACTCGTAAATCCTCTGTTCGCAGTAAAAGTCTTTGTTTTGGTAAAGGCACAGGCATCAGTCTTTGTTTTGTAGCTTACCGTGTTTCTGCATGACTGACAGAAACTTAATAATAACCTTCGAAGAAGGCTTAATAAGGACCTGACGCTTTCCACGCTTCTCAGCGTTGAACATGTTCTTCAAAGCATCGTTAAGGACGCTGATCCTCACCATTGTGCCTTACAAATCTGCAAAAATCCCCAAAATTTTATTGACAAATTCATGAGCTGTGAAACCACAAAGAGGGGCAGAGAACACAGCTGGCACCGAAAGTGCTCGATGGGCAAGAGATATAGGTCCAAAAGACGTCGACTCATCTTCTTCCACTAACATTTTAATTTCAAACAAAAGTCTAATTGTACTTCAACCGAAATCTGTGAACTTTCTATGTACATACACTGAAGTCCCTGGCCAACCGTACAGGAACATTATATGCAAACAGGCAGTAAAGCTGTAAATGCTGCGCAAGAACTCTCGGAAAAAACAAGAGTGTTCCCACCACACAGATCTCACAATGCAGAAGCAATTCAGTAGCCAAACTGATCCAAACACCAAGGCGGTCACAGAAGCTGGGGAAAACTCCCTCAAAAATTAAAAGAGAAAACGCCCGACGAAATTTCGATGCGATTCTAGTTTGCAGATTAGGGCTACGAGCGAGTTTGAGTTAAAAGGCACGAAATTGGTATCGATACGAATGCCAGAGAAGAGGGGAAGACGGAATCGGACAGTACCTCACTTGGAGCGATTGGGGCTGGTGAGATTTACGCTTGAGCAGCTATGGAAGCTCCACAGGTGAGAGTAGCCGCGAGGGATCTCTTTCAGCGAAAAGACGAAAAGAGTGACAAATTGCTCGTTAGGGTTCATATGCACCAGCATCTGGTTAGGGTTTGCCATTTCCCCGCCTGGACCCGTGCGACCGGTTTCTCCCGCCGGTGCCTGGCCTGCCTCTCCGTCCACAACCCGTTCGTCCACCTCTCCCAACCTTCCATGACCTCCCACATTCGGTCTGTCCCGGCCCCACGGACTGCCTCCAGATTATTGTATAATATATGGGTTTAATTATTATTTGTCGTCCTCCCGAATCGAAGGCATATACCAACCCAGGTACTAATTTATCCCATATACAGATCAAGTACCCGTCATTTGGACGGATACTCTATCACACAAGAGACTGCTGAAGTTTTGATTTCTTGTTTCATTTTAATACTCCTTATCATGTATAGGTTAGGTTAAGGTCGATGTCTGTATGCCCTTATAATCGAAAAATCACATTGCATAAAAACCTACTATTAGGTAGATCAGCAAATTGGCTTCCAAAAGTATGGAGCCATGGATAAACTAAGAACATCTAAAGTCAGGTAGATGCAACATATAACTGCACACGAGAACAATGCTATTAGTCAAACATAAGCCAATTTCTGGCTCCGTCTATCCCAAAACAGTTTTTAATCGAAATCGCACATCCAAATATGGGAGAAATGGTTTATATTCTCTTTTCAAATATTATTGCTATCGATTAACATGATTATACTTCTTATGGACCTATTTTTCTCTCTTCATGGGAAAGAGACCAATGAAAATATCCATCAAATTAAGATAGCGAAGGCCGTGTAAGGAGAAAATAATATCTCACAGAGGTTAAAGAATAATTACTCGGCTTTGCAGAACATGTAAGCAAGTTTGTTCGAGACGTTATTTGATGTCAACCCCACAATGGTAATGCTTTGATTGCACGTGCCGATTGCAGCGTTTTTAGTTAGAACTCAAATGATACTCAAACAAGCATGACCGTATCCACACTCACATTTTTGGTCAACAAAAATGCACCGATAATTATAAATGTTACTATGTTCTCGTTCACTGTCTCCCATGCGCGCTTGTCCACTATGACGTTTTTATAGAATGTTCATGGATTTTGCAACAGTACTTGTGCGTTGCATGATCTTGGTTCTTGTCAGGTGTTATACGATGTAAATTCACCTCAATTTACTATGTGAAGTTTGATGATTAGAGCTCAGTCTCTATGTGAATATTTCGCTTCGAGTGCGCAAAAGATTGCGGAATTGCAGAAATGAAGCTAACTATGCATAATGGGATCTGGTTACCGCACTGCAAATATCTTAAATGCTAACCATATCTTAAATAAAATAGCGATACTCATATATGATGAATATACGCATCTTTTACTTTCATATCTTCGTATTGTGTAGTACTTGATGTCATCCAAGGTGTCAACATATCTTCTAAAGTTTCCTGTGCGGTAGGCCAAAACTTTACCAACTCGGGGACGAAATTGAAAGCATAATTGTCTATTTGTTTAGATTGTGAAAGTGCATGACAAGCTTATTCAACATTTGATACAATTTAATACCAAGATATATATGACTAGTTATCAGCAGTCGTGCATAATTTAGGCGACCTTATGATGCATTGACTAAATTGCTTTGGCTCCTAAATTAATGTTGGACATCAACTTAAACGATTTAGCTCCGGAACATTTTAGTGAGAAGTTCACGAACGGCAATGGTTTTTGCCATATTACGAAGCCAATACTAGCTGCACTTGCGCAAAGTGAAAGCACGAGGCTATTGGAAATCCGTGCTGAGTACAACAAGTGATTTAATTCAAATTGAACGCATAGAATTAGGATTCTGGTTTCAACAAAAATCATAGATTGTATGCAAAGCTACTTCACGTCTCTCAAGATCTCAAACTTATTGTGAGCTTGAACAAAGAGAGATGTTTGATGTGCACTAAATTGAGTAACCTTATTGAGTGAACAATATGACATCTCTACATTTGACTTTCAAATCCTAATATACTGCGAAGATGGTTGCGACGTGGACACACAATGTCATGAAATGCTTGGAAGCACATATGTAGTACTTATATCTAAGATGTAAGGACTTTGAGTTGTCTAAAACTGCATGTTTTTCCCCGTCAATTGCCGTATGACGAAGCACTTTTATATGAGATACTCGCCACACTTTCAACCATCAATATGACTTTGACAGTAATTCTCCTCAATGTAGCGTTACATGCAATTTAGAGATTGTTTGTGAGTATAGATGCAAATTATTATTTTTTGTTGTAAACAAGTTTCTTTAGCCTGCAAAAGAGTAAATTATGTTGGCATTTTTATCCTAGATCTCCATCCAGAGTTGTCTTGCCATGCGGTACATTTGAAAGAGTTTCTTTGTGAGAAACAGTCGTATGAATTAACCTAAGTTATCTTTCCTAATGATCTAATTCAAGTAATTTACTCTACTGACTGATACAAACATACTTGTTTATAGGTGATTTTTATTGGTATGCGAAAAGAACACACTCGAATTTGGGATGTTGAAATTTGAATCTCCTGGTGTGTCAAAATATAATGTTTGGAGTAGAAATATTTGTAATTGTTGATGATATTCTTTTTGAAAAATTGTTGACATCCAAGCTCATAACCATAACTTCAAGATGATACTCAGAATTAAGTTTGATCAATGTGTTGAATCTCACATTTTACGATCAAATGGTAGTCCATCTTTGTTCTAAGATGTAGATTATGGTATCTCACATAAAATTATAGATAAATGTGTGTAAGATAATACAATCTCTAGATCCATCACTTGATGAATGAGTTTAGAACCAAAACGATCATGTAAATTCCGAGTCAAATCTTACAAACTAAGCATAAAATAGGTTGAGAGAAAGTGGATAAAGCACTATTCTACCTGCCTCGTCCATAACCTGCAACCACAATGATAAGCTATCACCACTTGTAACTCTACTATGTCCATTCTCTAACGATTACATCGTACTCAAAAAAAAGTTTCAACCAAAAATACTCTTCGAGAAGAATCGATCCATCCTCGTACAAGTAGAACCATCATTTAATTTTACTCTCATCTCGTCAATTAAGATCGTAATCTCCTCATAATGATTGCAAATATAGTATACACTAATATCCAGAAGAAGATATATTTCACCTTTTTCAAGTGTTACATCTTAATTCAAACAATTCCAATTTCAGAATACATTAGTCCACATGATATACCTCGCTAAGAGAATACATTGGCAGGGTATTTAGAAAAGGAATTTCCCAAAGATCTAAAACATAAATACCTTTTCCGATCTCAACCGTATGAGCAAAAGAAAAATGAAAAAAGCCCAAAAGATGACAAAAAAACATCCTCCAGTAATGAATCTCATACAGCATTGACCATAAGACGAAGGCACAAACGGACTCTTCAAAGAAATGAAATATCGTGCGATATTGTGTGACTATGTCAGATATTGTATTCCAAGCACATGCGACTTTCATAACTACTCACCTTACACAAATATTAAAAAGTTTACACAAATAAGAATTGCTTAACATAGATCCATCAGCTTTGAGGCTGAAAGCACACCATCCCGGAATTTAAATGTAGTTCATACATCTTTCAAGTGACGAATCATTTTTTTTTCTCATTCTATCTAAATTCAATATATCATGTAGTGTGAATGCGCCGAGGAAAGTCACAATTTCCACAATCAAACTTCCTGGAAAAACGCTTACCTATAAATCTTAGAATGATACCTATGGTCTAACACTGTGGAAAGCAAAATAGTGGGATAAATAAAAGATCTGAAAACTTGATTCGTGAGACATGTGGAAGAAACTGATGACTTCATGAGAAAAACATCATGAAATTTTTTTGAAAATAAACCCAAGAAAACTGAAAAATGAAAACTCACCAGCTATTTTTCAAACATTCATTTGTTTCTAAATTATTTTTGGTACAATCTCGGAGGTTGAAATGTGTGAACGAATTTACAAGTGTTAGCACACTTCAAACTCATGTCATGTCACCATACACAAATTAGATATCATCTTGATTGGATTCGCAACTCGATCTTTGCCCAAGATCAATTTGTAATAGAATACGTGGGTTTGGGCCACAACCTGTATCCTCACTCGAAAGATATATCAAAGCATTTTCACCTTCGCCACGTCTTACTGTGAGAGCAGTAAGACTGTGGCAGCAATCCAAGGTCGAGATTTTATGAGCAATACATCAACGACCAACGTACATGTTTGAACAAGCTCTCATTCTGCGTTCATTAGAAAGTTACCAGATCAAACTGAAAGGCTTTGTAGTGTGTTCAGAGTATGTCAGAGGATTACATGTGAAACCACAAGTTGTGTGGATTGGGATCTGTCCCAAAACATTTAGAGCTCAAATGATTTCACGAGACGGCGAAAAACGAGGACATCAACGTTGTGCCTTGATCATTGGTTCATCCAAAACTGCAGACAAATGTCACGCTCACATATGCTTTTTTTTTGTGAGGAGACCATCTGGTTTGAGATGCTGGAGAGTGTCGTCATCCTTCGATGACACCGGCTTTACAAGTTGCTCCGGGTGAAGGAGACACACTGCCAACTGGTTTGAGCAGAATAGTGGATAACTCGGATGAGGAAACTAAAGCAATAGTGGCTGCTTGATAAACAACTTTCGCGAAAGCTGTGCAATTAGCCCCCGCTCCGGTCTCGATAGCGTTAAAGGCCACATGCTTCTCATAAAGTGCATATACTTCTCGCTTAAAAATTCTAACCTCGGTGATGTTTCCATCCTTTTTTTCTTCCTCATTTGTCTCGATCCCTAGTGAGTGACTCAAATGGTTATTGTACAATCGGAGAAAATTACGAACCTTGAAGCTTTTTCTCTGGCTTAAAATCAGGCAAGAAAGCTTTGAGGCCATAGACGAATCTAATATGAGACCAGACTCATCAGATTTTCTCGATGGGTTGCAAACACAGCGTTCATCCTGACGACAAAGCCTGACCATATGATATAACTTGCTTCTCGACGTGGTTCCAGAAAATATTGACATGAATTATTCCATTGTCAGTGCTCTCGTTATGAGTCGAGTTGAATCTCGTGCATAACAAACAGGACGTCAATAGAAAGATTCTACGTACTTCGGTTACATTGCTTACTTCGAGGTTGTGGACTTTTCAGCTATTTTCACACCAGTAAGCTTCAGTGTCCGATTGGTTGCAAGCTGCTGAACAGAGAGAGGTAAAATCAGAAGGTAGATATACAATTACTGGGAGAAATGTATTTCTTGTTGCAGCAAGAACTCTGGGTTCATGGCAGACTCAATATCGTACACTCTGAGTTGCCTGCCGCTAAGCCTGCACAAGCTGTGTCGTCATGCAAGTCTTGACAAAGCTCTTCCCAACGTGAAACTCTCCATTCATCATGAACCTTTGACAAGCACATTTCTCAAAGCTTTGAGCACAATGGATGAACAACAACCCTGTCTACATCGCATTGCACTACGTACAGAGAAGCTTCACTATCTTCCATTCAGGTCTGTTATCTCCTAGAATAACCATCGCTAAAACGACCACTTTTATGGCCACCAGCATTTAGTTCATCCTTGTATGCTCGGCCACCATCGTCCCTTTCACCTCTATGACCTCTGCCACCATCGTCCCTTGTATCTCTCGACCCTCTTCCTCCGTCAATTTCGTCTCGTCCACCTCTTCCACTTCTTCCTCCATCTCGTTCTTCTCTCCTCCCTCCTCCTCTGTCAGCTCTAGACGAGCCATCTCGCTCTCTAGATTCATATGGCTCATCTCGAAAACCTCTTCCTTCGGCCCGTTCCCGTCTGGAACTCATTCCATCCTCTCTGTCCCTAGAATACATATCTTTGGCATCGTTACCACGAGCATCCCTTCCTCTATCGCTATCGTTCTCATCTTTAGGCCGAATGTCTCTTCCTACCCTGCCACCGTCAACTTCCATTCGTCTTTTGAAACCGCCTTCAGAGCCCTTTGTATCTATTCCAGTGGTATTATCTTTGCTGGCCCGGTCAAACACTTGTACCCCTGGTCTCGATGGTGGGGGGTCATCGTTCTTCTTCTCCCGTCTCCAAGGTGGTGGAGCAGGTGGTCCATCATCCCTCCTTCTGTTACCACCTTCTTTCTTACCGAATGTTGGCCCATCCTCTTTCTTGCCCCATCCAGTATTAGCATTCCTCTGTGGAAAAAAGCATTTCAAAGCGTTAAGGCTGTTCTTAGAACATAAGCATGGCAATTAGCCAAGCTGACTGACGGATAAGATTATTTCGTTGTGCGCAAATTAAAACCCTGTCAACAATATCCTCACAAAGTGCTCAAAGAACGAGAACAAGGACGAGGTTAGCAGAGATGGGCACAGCTGGCAGGATTTGATTCACATATTATGATGACAATCTAAGAATCAATCATTGAATAAGTGCAACACAGCTAAGGAACCACCAGAAGCCCACAAACACCGAGCCGGCAACACCCATGGTCCCAACCTCGTGCTTCTGGACATGCTCACATAAGGATCATGATATGCAACGTCAGGCTAATCCAACCAGTCCAGAGGTTTCGGGTAGCAAAGGCCAAAGGGTTCGCCAAATAGAGGTATCTATAACTGTACAATCTGAAGCAGGTCGCCGTATATATGCTTTTTACGTATGGGATTCTAGAGACAGAGAATAGGCTTTCATTTGTCATGTCTGTGTCAATAGCTGGCTTGGCCCGATTGTGCCCGATTGGCTTGAGACATCACGGAAATACACGCAGCTGGAAGAACTGTAGCAGAATATACCTGCTCATCATGGGAAAATTTGCAACCAGCTCCTCGGTTGCACTCTCCACGCTGGAAAGCATAGCAAACGCCCCGTTCTTCTCTCTTGCGTTGTTCCTCCTCCTCATCTTCTTCCTTTTTCTTCTTGTAATTCACAACATGGTCCACACGAATAATGCGTCCGATTACTCTCGCCCCATTCAGATTATCTGTAGCACAGAAGTACATGTCGCTTTAATTCAGAGACGTAGCAACATGGTGAGAGCACAGACCAGAAAAGGAGTCGAGATGTTTGAAATCGTTAGCTTTGAAAGATCGCCCTACAGTTTCTGCGGGACTCTGTTAGCTTTCCAAACGTATAAACGTGAGTACAGAGAACTTACCAACTGCAAGTATGGTGCTTTTTTGATTCTCGTAAGCCACGAAAGCAAAACCCTTGGACTTTCCGGTTCCCTTGTCTCTCACCAGATTCACATCCACAATTTCGCCATACCTGCATCGAAATCGTCACTTCCGGGTCAGACGAAAGAGAAAAATCGTGTAAAATCGTTGTGTGGCAATATTTCAGCTGAAGCCTAACACCAAGATCCCGGGGAAATCACTGGAAAACTATCACGCGATGACTGCATAGTAAAATGTGGCTCACCAGGAGATTGTTTCACAAGACTAAAATTTAGGTCATGACAAGCTGAACACAAAGCAACTGGAAAAGGAATCGAGAGGCGTTCAGAAACTCACTGGGCGAAAACGGCGAGGAGATCACCCTCAGTGAGATCAAAAGGCAGCCCACCGATGTAGATGTAAGCTGAGTCCTTATATCGCTCGTGCCAAGAACCCTGCTCTGAGATCCCTGCTGCTGCCTCTCGTGCGGTGATTTTCTGAGTATTCTTCACTTGCGTGAGAGGATTCATGATTTCTCAGATTTTGCAGTTCATGTGTTCCCGCTCTCTCTCCCTGTCTATCTACCGACTCATGTCCACAACAGTTGTCGGCAGTAAATTATATACCAATCCGGGTCATACTGAAATGCACGTTCCGATCAAAGGATTGTCGTTCTAGTGTCGACTTTCCCTAGTTTCAAATCCCGTTCCATCGTCACGTTCACCAACGTAAGGCTTCGAACCAAAGACTCGTGTGGACGTGTAATTTCGTGTCCGAACACCGTTGTGGTCTGTCCGGACCTTCTCGCCTCGCCTTCTCTTGCTAAGGGTTACCCCAGCGTAGGCGCTTCGACATTCAGTATTATTGCTTTCATGAACCCTTCGATGTGACATTTGAGTCGCAGAAGAACCTACTGAGTACCACGTAAATATCTTCAGTTCATACAATTGAACTTTGCGGTATGCGATTTGCCGAAGGGTTATTTTTGTGTACAGTTTCTTTCTGATGCAATACTCTGTTACTTGTTCGAAAATTCGGCAGGACTCTTTGGATACTCAACGCTCTTGAAGGGCCCCATCAGGTTTAGTATTATCGGAGATTAGTTGAGAGTTCGGAGTAATTTTTGTTGGCGATATTAAGAGTTCGCGTCATTATACGTAGCTCGGCCCGATTTCAATTCTGCGCTCCTCGTAGGATGCGTACTCGGCTTTACCCACATAGAATTTGAAGATGATACATTTCTGAACTTTTACTGTCATTCGCACTTAGCCGTTACATGCACAAAACAATGTCTACGATAGATGTTTACAGGTGTTGTGCTTGTACTCACAGTTTTCGTGGAAATATATGTATTTGCATATCATCGGCATCAAAAGATTCAGCTTCTCGCCGCCACACCTCACTTGCAGTATATAATTTTCCATTATTTATTAACTTCACTTTCTTCATCACTCCCACAAGAGATTATTCTACAATACAAGTTATTCAAATTTTTATGTCAAACGTCAAATACCGCACACCGATGCAAGGAAATCCAGTCGTCTGTAACGACAAGTGAATTTTGTGATTGGCAACACGATCCTGCTTGCCAACCGGAAAAGTAATAGATAATATAGTGGAGAACTCTTGCAGGTGAAGAGCACACTGGTACTTTCAAGTACCAGTATGCAAGACAAACAAATCAAGACTTCCAGGCAAATGAGACAATGACATGCAAGTGAGAGCATATGAGAGCATGTGGTCACCAATGGTATCAATTTCTATTTTCAACTTAATGTTCGTCAGCTAATACCTACATAGAACAACAATTGTATCATCCTCATTTTACTGTGGTCAATCGTGGTACCAGGCCCACCCGCTGCACGGGTAAAATAATCACGAGCGAGAGATTGCCCTTCAACTAACGCACTCCTTTGCTCTTCAACTAAAGCACTCCAGCCAGCCTATAGCTGTAGACAAACGTAATGTATATAATATCACATTTGCACCTGCAGCTCACCGCAACATTTATCCTACTACTAAACAAATGGCTGCTACACTGTCCAGCAATCTAGGTGTGACACCAGAACTGGACTGTGGAGCAGCAGTCTCTTCCCCTTTAAGGATGATGCCCAGAAAGTAGGGGAAGGAAGATGGATGGGAGGAGTAGTTGGATAATAACAAGAAAGAAGAGTTGTGAAAGGGGTAAGACCTGTGACTCCTTAGTGATGCCCAAAATCAGATCTCAACTTCCCCCACCCAAGCTAGCTGTGGTCTGCGTGGATGAATTCCTCAAGAAATACGTCTCCCGGCTACAACTAAGGATCCCTCATTCTGTCTGCATCGTGTCTGGTTCGGGACCAGGTGCGCCATTGTCGGTATCCATAGGTTCAGATGGTGGTGCATCATTCCCTGAAGATGAGAACCCGTTCGATGCGCCATCCTTGGACTCAGCTGGTTTAGATTCAGGTTGAGGGGGAGCAGCCTTTGGTGGAGGAGGCCTCGGCTTCGTCATGATTGGTTTACAGAACCTGCGCCGGTGGTGGAGGGTCAGAAGTCAGATTGCTGAAGAGAAAGTCTCAAATTCGCACAGCTTACCTACTTTCAGATACACATCGTCATTACTTATAAGTCCACGCCTAGTTGGAATGAACATTCAGAGCCTTACCGGTCCAAAACTTCAGTTTTCTTTTTAATGTCGGCAGACAACAAGACAGGATTCGAAGCCTTCGGTAGAGCGTCTTGCAATTGCTTTTTCTCCTTCAACCAGTCTTCAGCCTTTGCGCACTCGGTGAGAACCTGCGCCATGACAACCATATCCACCATAAATATCAAGCTGATTCGAAGTAAAACTCCAAAAGAGAAATTAAACCTTCGGCACAAACAGTTCACAACCTATTAACAAGGGCGTCAGTCAGGAAAAAGGGGCCGCAAAATTTACCTTGGCCTTATCTTCCGGGGCAATATGGTCATACTTGGCTTCTTTAGACTGGGCGGCGTTACGGAGGTTGTTAACACGATCCATCAGTTCCATCATAGCTGGAACTCTGGCCTCTACTTCTTTCTGCCTTTCTACAATAGGGTCTCCAAGCTGATAAGCAGACAAGCGAAAACAGCAATTAGATCAGGCAAATTGTGAGCTGATTGTGAGCTGCTTTGGGGTCTCCTGTTAAGAAGACAAGATCGCCCGTTAACGATTCATAGCAGCGGCGACTGACTCCTGGCACAAGGCAACAGACAACATGACGAGGCAACACAGGATAAAGAATTGTCATGACCAGCACCTTTTTGAGTTCAGCGAGCTTAGCTACGTAGACGCTTTTGATCTCGTCTTCACCGTCTTCATAGAGCCAATCCTCTGTCTGCTGTAACTTTGCAGACAGCTCCTCGCGTTCATGTTCGGTGACGTACTCGGCTAATTTCTCGGAAAGCTGTGGTCCAAGTAAAACCAAACTCAAAAGTCAAAACTCTACCATCCAGGGTAATTGAGATAACTCCTTGAATCGAAGATCCATACACAAAATTCCACGTTTCTGTAACTTTTGGTCCACCTACGCCTAAAAAGCAACAGGACACATGCTACGAGAAGGGTGACCTCAAACGGTCTGGAGAATGTCTTCTACTGACGGAGATTTTTCTATCGTCAAAGATAGAAAATAACAAAAGATTGATGAAAACCTAGCAAGCTTAAAGTTTGAAGCCAAACCTTGTTCCTCATGTCATACACATATGCTTCGACAGCATTCTTCTTGTCTTTCGTTTCCTCCATTACACGATCTTGCAGTGCCATTTCAAACTCTTTCTCCTGAGCCTTTTGGAGGTCAGGACTTAAAAGGCCTCCAGGTACCATCTCGTGCACAGGTACCTCAGTCCTCTTGGTCTTCTTCTTCTTAGCTACTTCTTGCTGCTTAGAAACAATTTCAGTACAAAACCAGTCAATATGGATTCTCGCAAAATCCAAACTTCAAAAACATCGGCCACAAGAACGACATCTACTTTAATAGTATTTGCCTAATTCGCTTGAAGATCAATGCGCCAATACAAGGTAGAATAAGTCAATGACATGAGTGTCATTCATATCGTGAGGTGTGCGTTCTTATTCTAGCGTTATCTTCGAAAACATTCAGCTGAAATTGATGGGCAAAATCGATACCTTTGGTTCGGTCTCCATCTTAGAGGGCTTCTCATCAGCTGCAGCACCATTCTCCGCGCCTGTACCGTCAGTTTGCTGATTGTCCGCATCGTCCATCTTCGCGTCAGCAGGCTTCTCTCCATCAGTTTCCATATTGATTTCCTTTACCTCTTGAGTAGCTTCCTTCACCTTAGGTGCATCTACTTCCTCTTCCTCAATGAGCTGCAGGGTCCCGCATTGGCAGGTCAGTGTCATTTACAGCTGGTGTCCAATCACAGCTATGAAAATCAATATCTGCACATGACATAGACGGACGGAGATATTGCCTGATAACAAAATGACTAAAAATTTTACAGCCGAATAACACTGGACACTTACAGTGCTGGATTCCACCGACACGATTCCGTGCAAATTCAAGCGGATCTTGACTTTCAATTTCCCCTTCTCATTCGGTTTGGACGGGCTGAAAGGACCAATCTGTACGAAAAAGACCAGTGTTGAACGATCAAAAAGGCAGAAGTGAGGAGAACTAGAGAAGATCACACACTAGTGCTAATCACAGCCCTTGGTTGAAAAGATTTCCAAAAGCGACATGAATCAGCCTAACTCAACCGACTAAGTCGACAGAGTCCAAACAGTTCACACGTAAGACAGAGTCAGCCCAGCGAAAAACGTAACTTGAACGACACGCGAAACCAGGTGAACGAAGCATGGAGAGACGAATCCGCAAGTACCGAAACCTTGAACATACTAATCCATTCTCAGAAAATATGAGATGGCCGCTAAAGGCAGCCACATTAACCGCTCACACGTCAGTCACCATGTACAGTCACCATAACACGCAGCAGAGACGAACATGAACATATTCTCACCTGGAACGTGCTGATCTTTGGATTAGTACCGGCAGGCAACTCGGTCGTGTCCGCGTACAACGCATCAATTGTGAATGTTCCCGATCTGAAAAAGGTAAGCATTTTCGTACATGGGACAGGATTGCCCTTCACAAACACGATACTGTTGGACGAAGTTTCATCCCCTGTGTCTGACTCCGGGGCTGAGCCTTTCCATGAAAGAGCGATCGGAAAGGGGAAGCTGTCTTGAACCTACTCAGCGAAGAGAAGACATCGTTGTCAGTGGCGGAGCAAACTTGTGACCAACCTTTTCCATTAGAAAAAGCAGTGGAAAAGAAAGAGATCAAACTTGAATACACAACCGCACAACATTCAGAAAGTTGCAGAATCACGAAAGTGTCGGCGCTCATTTACCTCAAACTCACGAACTCTGAAAGTAGGACTCAACATAGCGCACTGTAGAGCGCATCCACGTGCAATACATTCACTGGCGTTCAACGTACGACCGGGCTCCTTACCGAAGACAGCCGCTAAGATTTTCATGACGGCCGGTACACGAGAGCCAGATCCTACAACTTCTACTGCACTGATCTTGTCAACAGTCAATTTAGATTCGGCCAGCGCTCTCTCGCAAGGTCCCCTGACCCGTTCCAGAATTGAAGCAGACAGCACCTCGAACTCATCCCTCTTCATGAATCCTCTAACGTCTTTCTCGTCCATTAGGCACTCAATGTTGAGCGGAGCCTCAGCGTTCGCGCTGAGCATTTTCTTCAACTTCTCACAACCGGCACGAAGCCTGAGACACGCTCGGGCATTCGACTTCACATCGATCTTGTACTCGTCCTTGAACTTTTCAGCGAAGTGGTTGAAGAGGACCTCATCGAAGTCCCGTCCACCCAGGCAGCGATCAAAGGAATGGGCCAGAATCTTGAGCTGACCCTTCTTGAAGGCAGCAACGCAGACTTGCATGCTGGCATGCCCTACGTCCACAAACACGACGTTGACTGGATCCGTGTCCGGTAGGTCAGTCTTGTAAATACCGTACGCGAGAGCGGTGGCCGTGGTCTCATGCATGAGTCTTAGAGGGTGGAGCCCAGCAATCGTAGCTGCGTCGAGGTACGCGCGCCTTTGAAGCTCGGTGAAGAAGACGGGAATACCAATTACACAGTCGACGACCGAGGTTCCGAGGTTCTTTTCGGCGATGACCTTCAAATTGGACAGCACCATGGCGAGAATCTGAGTGGGAGTGAACGATCTGGGCTCATTCAGGTACATCACGTTAATCGATATGCCGCCATCTGAACTCTCGGTGACACTGAATGGGAAAAGATGCAAGTCTCTCTGCACTTCGGGATCCTGAAATTTCCGCCCAATCAGCCGCTTGATCTGACTAAGCGTATTCTTGGGGTTCATCGTTGCGGATGCCGCCGCAGCGGTTCCGATGAACCTCTGCTTCTCGCCGAACGACACCATGGCCGGAGTCTCGCGCTTGCTCTCGTCATTGAGCACCACGTCGATTCCCCGTTGCCGCGCAACTCCCACAATGCAGTTCTCATTGCCTACATCCAAACCTACCACGCTCATCTTGCCGTTACGCTGCTTCCTCCCTCCGCCTCCTCCTCCGCCTCGATCAAACGTCGAGCGACCGCCCACCCGCGCGACCTAGCAGCAGCAGCGCCCTCTCTCGCTCGCTCGACCTCGTCCTCCTCTTCGCGGCTTGCCCGCCTCCTCCGCTTCTTCTACGAGCAAGCTCTCCGCGCTCTCCCTGCGCTCCTCGTAAACGCACTTTCCTTCCAGATCCTCGACGACGACGATCGCTCCCAGTCACTCTCTCTCTCTCCCTCTCTCTCTCTCTCTCGGGCCACTGTCTTCTGAAGCTCACTCCTCTCTCGCCTTTCTCTCTCTCTGTCTCTCTCTCTCCGTCCCTCCCTCGGCCTCGGCCTGCGCTGCACAGCAAAAGCTTCTCGCGAGCGCCCGAAGCCAGCCAGCGAGCGAACACAGCAGCTGCCCAGCCCTCCCCCTCCCCTTCCCTTTCGCCTTCCCTTCCCTCCCTCGCTGCCCGCCCGTCCTGTCTTGGCTGCTGCCTGCCCTCTTCGCACTTCGCGTCCGCTGGCTGGCTCCTGCTGCGACCGCCTTCCGCTCTCTCGTCGACACGCTCCGCTGCTCGACGCTCCCTCCCGACGCAGCGCGGCGCCAGCCCGTCCGTCGTCTCGGCCGGCGCTGCCGCGCAGGCTCGGAGCTTTGTCGCGGCCTGCCCTCGCCAGAGCTCCGGTCCCGCCCGAGCCACCAGGGCCGGAGACGAGTGACCAGACGCTTCTGTTGCCACAGCCGGGGACAGTGACCGTCCGCTGTCCGTCCAATTTTAGTAAATTCCCGTTTCTTCCTGGGAACGGACGGGGTTTGGATCTAATCTGTGCCATCCATCTGGCGCGCCGGAGGACGTATGCCATATGGGATAGGTGGCATGATGGGTGCGGACATGGGGACGACATTTTCCCGGCACGAGCTCCAGCGGCCCCCCTCTGTAACCCTAACTGAGCTGCGGCCCTACGGCAACCCGGTCGCGTAAACCTTGCCTTGTGTTCCGCCACTAATTCCATCTTAACTATATTTTCAATTTATGCCAACTTTCGAGTGTGCTTCTTAATGATCTTCCTTCCGTGCTTAATAGCAGTCTAACTACCTAATTTAGACATCATTTGCCGACTGTACTTGCGGTTCTTCGCCATTTGCGAGCCAACATCAGTGCTCTCCCAACGACCAGCGCCTTCAGGATGAAACATTCCGTTGAGGAGCTCCGTGATGTCATCTTCCACTTACGCCCCGCTGAACTTTCCAGAAATGTGAATTCATCCTTTCGGTTCCACAAAATATTGCCCCGCTGTGATTCGGCTGGCTTAATCATAAAACCAGCTCAATTCTTATTCTATGGTACAATCAAATTTTTAATTGATATATTTACTGAAATTCCACCAAATAAATATTATTTTGATAGGGAATGCTGATGACTGCCGAGGAATTCTATTTCAACGTCGGTCACTGTGGATCAACCCGGGTTGGCGAGAGGGTCTACTCGAGCTGATTAATTCTCTCCAATTGGCGATAGTACTAACGTAATGGTGAAAGCGCTCCTCGGACGGATGTTTCCTCATCGGTGGAGGGGAAGATTCTAGTAGAGGGAAATAACTGCCACATTGACGGAGCTCCAAACCCACGGACATTGACTCCGCAGGCTGCCGGCGGGCGCGCGACGCAACCGGGCTCTGAAGGATCGAGAACCTGTACAGGGAGCCGGACAAGCCGACGACGGGTCCGGTCGACGAGCCAGTTCCACCAACCGACTCTGGACGCATCTAGAAGCGGAGGTCCAGAAGTCGGACTGCTCGCGTTGGCGCCGAACCTCATGGGCACATCCACCATGGATACCGCACATGATCTCGAAATGGCCATGGATGCATTCTTAGCTTAACTGAGCTTTCTAGAACCAAATGCGCTTTGAACAACATTTAGGGTTCCGCCTTGAAAGAGGACCTCCGAGGAGATTCTGGAAAGGGGCACATTCGCTGAGTCCGGTCTGCGAGGCCCAACAATTCCACGTGGACGAAGCAGAGGACTTACGCGGGAAGACCACGTGGCATGTCCTCTAAGCCCGGGCAGACCGGGCAGCATTCCATCTCAGAGCCGTACACGCTCTTCCGACCTTCCGTGGGCACTGCGCGGTGTAGGGCTGAGGGCTAATTTGCTTAGTCCACACTATCATCACATTGAACCCTTTCTATTCATAATGCCCTTATTTTTGCCAGAGTTTTCTCGTCTGAAGATGACCTCTACAAATACAACAACAACCTACACCTGTGAATGCTATAAACTGTCATCTTGTGAACAAAATTTTCTTCACCAATTTTAACTTTTATTCATGCAGACCAGATTCATGAACAACTCATAAAACTTTGTTATAAACATCCACTCCGTCTCCAAATCTCCTTGGAACTTTCTCTACGATACAATCGATCCGAATCATCGAGACATCTAATATAATCAAGTTGCTTCTTGCGTAAGATATACGAAATCTCCATGTTACGCCCGTCTACTTTGCTAGTTAACTCTTGTATGTAATTCTGCAAAACACCACAAATACACAGTCGGCTTGCCCTAAACTCTTTGTCCCCGGTAACATAATTATTTTCAAAATTATTTATAAACCTATCCTTGCTGTAAAAAAAACCTTCAGTCAAAAAATCTTTCAAAAATAACAACTTTAAAGCTATTCACAATACATGTCATGAAATATAAGCTTCAAACTCAGTCTCCAATTTAGTTCTGACTGAAAAAACGCTCTTAACTTCTAAATTTGTTTCAAACTTCTAAACAATATTACCTTAGCTTAATGACATTTTTGAACCAGAGTGTAGAAAATGTACAAAAATTGGCGTTGGAAAAAAAAATGCTTCTTGTATTTGAACTTTTTTTAAATCTGTGCAATCCAACTTTTGATTGATATGAAATAAAACCTAACTTTTTTAACTTTTTTCCAAGATAATTTGTTTTATTTAATTTGTGTTTATTGTGTATCATACTGGTGAGATAAAAAATAACTATAACTATATGATTGTAATTATGTGCATGAATTCAAAACCATCATCAAACAATATCTTATCTTGAGAAAAAACATTCAAAGAACTTAGACTCCATAAACATTTCTTTCAACAAACAAAATTATATATGACAACAATCTGAAGCTAAATCTAGACTAATGTAACTTCAAATGAACTAAGTTTCACGATAAGTAAAAATTAAATCATTAAATTGAACAAATCATATGTGTATTGAATATATTCTCATTTGATAATTATTATTCTAGCTAAGATCTGTCAAATATGTGTCAAGAAGTAATCGTACAATACAAAGTTGCAAGAACCAAAAAAATGCTTACAAGTTTTCAATACATTTTTTGTAATGATGATAGTACGTTACTAATTATACTAAGTCTATGTATTTATTGAAAAAATAATTTTGAAAAAATCATAATTACTTCTTATCATTTTCAACCACACATTTTTCAGTTTTTATGCGATGCAAACAGATTTGTTTCAAAATCTAGTACTTCTCTTCAACAATAATTAAAGCACCAAACAATAAATTTGTTCATATTATTGTTTTCTACATGGAAAGATAGTTGTTGTTATTTTTCAGTGAAGCGGCTAGTTATATTTCAATTTATGCTTATTATCCCTCGTACTAATTTCAGATCAATACAACAGATTTGTCCAAATGAAAACACACAAGATAAAATCACTCGATAACTTCATTTCTTTTTACTAACCATGAGTATGCGCTTAATCACTACAACATAACCTTGATTCATCGCGTAACCTTGCATTGTTGATAGTGTTGCGTCCAATGTTGCATTGAAGACCTATAGCAATGAAAAAAACGTGTTATTTTTAAAATGACATCCCTCTAACCAATCACATACTTCTAAAAAGATTTTATTTTAGCAATTTATTTCCTTTTGGTAACATGACGTATAATTAACATAAACTAAAGTATAACTAGCCACTCACTTTTTTGATCAATCATATCATAATTCTTAAAATTATTGAAATTAGTGCAATTCAATATAATAAGATGTTAAATGCATGTAAACAACATTTTTGATTTATTTCATATTAAGATAGGAACTATTTAAAACTAGTTTTATATCAAAAGATTAAAATTCTTACGATAAAGAAATATCATATAAATAAAACAATGATTTTAAGTATTTCAAAAATGAATTGAATATGTTTGGTATTAGGACTAATATAAATGAACATATTTTTAGAATTTTAATTATTTTTTGAAAATATAAAGAAGTATTAACATCAGTATAAATATATGCAAATCAAGTTATATTAAGTGCTACATAAAAAAAAAATGATACAACAAATGACACAAAGCATGTTAGTACAAATTTGCACAAAAAATGTGATGATTTTGAATTAATTTCACAATTTGAAACAATTCAAGATGATTTGAAAAAGTTCTCTAAAAGTGTATGAAATTCTAAAACTTTTCTTTGTTGTTTAAATAAAAGAAGTTTGAAGTAAACTTTTGTTGAAAGAAAAAGCACTAAAAAAATATTTTGATTGAAATATTCCATTAATTGAATAAAAATATAAATGATCATACTTAATTTTATAAAGATTAAAAATCACACAAAATAAAATAAAATTCACTGAATATATATACTGTGTACTTTTATAAAAAATATGTGAAAAATACTCACATATAATTACTAAATAAAAAAAGAAAATTAACAAAAAACAAAAATGAAGGTCTCGAAATGAACATTTCAAATATATGTAATGATACAAATAACTGTAAATTTATCAATATATTCAATACAATTTAACACATTTATTTCAGGAACACCATCTGACTTATTTGATTATATTAAAGCTAATAAGTAAAGAATACATCATAATATGAGTATTTAATAAATACAGTTGCCTAAATTAAAATAAATTTAATATTTAACTTTTTTAAAAAAAAATCACATTTCCCAATAGTTAATTTGCAGTGAGCAATATTCATGGATTAAAATATCTATTGATAACTTGAGATGAATTTAAATTTTTACAAAATCCAAAGTAGATACATAAATTCTTTCAACACTAATTTCAAAAGCTTAGTTTCAATTAAATCTTTAAAATAGAGAGAGAGAGAGATATATATATATATATATTTATTTATTTATTTAAGATAATAAATTGTATGTTTTAATTCAAATAAAGCTTAATTACAAATATTGATTCATAGAGAACGGTTATTTTTCACAAATGAACTATCATCTAAATTTTGTAATACAAATCAAATACAAATATATAATACTTTTTATTGTTTAATCAATAAATTTGAATATATGGTAGATTAAGATTATAATAAACAGTTTATTTCACATAAATTTGTATTTCATAATATTTTCAATCACATAAGATGCTGCATTTATAAAAATCTCTATATGATTAATAAAATCATAATTCTTGTATGTTTTTGCTTTGATATTGGCTCATTGTTATACTTGCAAAATATTCAAATAGAATGAAAATAATAAAATATTTGAAAACATTATATACAAAACTCCTTATATACAAAATTGAAATATCAACATAAATTTCGAACCAGTAATCAATGATAATATATTGTTAACGGTACATTTATTTCTTGTAACCTATACAAAATCAATCATTTGAGTTCTAGTGAATTCAAAATTAAATAATTATAATTAATAAAACTTTAAGGCTCTTAATTTTCATGGAATTTCAGCTTTCAGATTTGTTTTATTTGTTTTCATGAAAATTCATGAAAATGTATGAAGCATGTACTCTATTGACTGAATGAATACTCAAATTCATTGTTTTTTTTTTGGTTGCTTATAGAACCGACGTCATGATATAAGAATAATAAAGTCAACAAAATCAAACTGGAACAGATTATGAAGACATGATTATTTGAATTTATTCTTTAGAATATATAATAAACTTTAGCTAGGTTTGCAGACAATTAATATAAATGTCGATTTTTTTTAATACATTTTTTGTGCTTGGATATTTAATTTTTATTGTTATTGATAGTAAGATATTGCAAATTTTTTTTTTAAAATATAGGTCATTATCTAAAAATGGGTAATAATACTTTTGATTTCATAAAAATCACATCATATAGATATTGGAGATGAGAGTACTACATATACTTACTAAAGACCATTCTGAAATTATTGTAGAGGATTAAAGCTTAACAACTATGTGTTTTATTCGTATAGCGTATATTAAAGATAAAAAAAATATGTCTTATGTTTCGTTTGAAAGAATTTTATTAAATAATAGACTTTCAAATAATCATATTTAAGAGAAATTAATAAATGAAACAAATTCTGTTTGTTCGTTTTTTTAATTATGTCGTAGAAAATTTTACCTACAACTTATAGATTATGTGTTTTGTAAGAAGGAATAATTTCCATGCCATGTCATGTTTTATATTGTTGTGAGGTAAGAGGCTTTAAAAAAATCTTAAATATTAGAATATAAAATATTTTGTTAATTTAAAGGACTTTGAATGTTCAGTTTTTGTTGGGTAAAATTTTGTATTTTCAAAATACGTACAAATTAATTCTTAAAGCGTTACAAGCAAGATGCAAGTAGAGAGGTATGTTTATAAAGAACATTCAATTTGAATTGTTTGGATAAGATAAATATTTATAACTTGCTAGATATTGAATTTTGATGGTTTTTAATTCTGAATTTTACATCATAATTCTCTTTTGTAAGCTGAAATACAAAACCTTATATTTCAATGCAAATTTTGAGTCTCATCAAATTCACAATTGTGGATTTGAAATTATAGCTAAAAAACGAGAAAATCTGTTCAATTATTTTGTTTGATCCTCCATCTGATGCTTTTTTTTAGAACCGTCTTTTTCCACATATCTTAAAAACTTATATCTAATATGAAGAGTCTATCCATTATTATTGATTGTTATTGTTTATTTTGATACCAAATATTATACTAATGAGATATAAAGTATGAATATTGTAGTATGGTTAACGTCCCATATACAATACATCAATTTATTTTAAATTATACTTCTCAATCTATAACTCAATATAAACTTTTAGTTTTTCATACTTTTTTTAAATGGTAAATTTGTGTGGATTTATGGTAAATGCATGTAGATCTACAAACTTGATATGCATTTATTCGTGATTAGCATTCGCTGTACTGTGAGTTTCTGTTTTGGTTGTTTTCATAACTACATATATATAAAATAGATAGTCATATATACATTTTACAGTTTTCAAATTATGCAAGCTAAAATGAATCATGATAATTTGGTTTTATCTTTATATCATGAAAACTCAAGATTAATTTAGTTTTCTTGGATTTGATAAAATGTTGAATTTATTATTTATTTAAAAAATAAAATTATAAGGTGTGAATTGTAAAGCAGGATAATATATTTCCTTCTCAATCTAAGAGTTTTTTATTCTATATATCCGTGTATGGATGTTGAGATAATATTTTGGGTAATATTTACAAAATCTATATTTTCTTCTGATAGAACTGTTCACATTTAAGTGACAATGTTGTTGACTCATCACATATACTTCAAACATACATTTTGTATCCAAATTAATTTCCTCATAGTTCATGATCTATTTTGATTGGATTTAACGCAAATGATATTTTATTTCAGTTTTTTAATGAATTATGTTTATTTTAATGATTCGTATATTCCTGATTATATAAAGAATTATTTTAGTGAAGTTATCTATTACTTAGTGTTTATGTAATAAAGAATTCCGCAAGCTTTCAAATAGATAAAATGCAAATTTGGTGTCTTCCAAATGCTTCTCCTCAGTAATTGCTTTCCAAAAATTGACAATTGATTGCATTGTATTTTAAATGCACCATTTAGTACAATCCATTCTAATTTTCCAGGTAGATTAGATAATAAAACTTGGATGGCCGAATAACATTATCTTATTTGGTACACTTTGTTTTTGAATTTTCATTCTTCGCAAGTTTCCAAATAACGGGCGTTCGGAAATTGGAGAAAAACCTAGCAGGGAGGAACCCGATCTCGTATCTTGGCAACTGATCTTTGTGAACAAATGAAGTGGGACCTGCAAAATGTGTTGCAAGATTTGAATAGTTCGAAAAATTTTGGATTAAAATCAAGCTACTCGAGTTGGACAAATGCGAACATTTGAAGGTCCTATCACATCATGATGTGGTGTATGTGAGACGTGGCTCCCTCTGAGTCCTGGACGAAATCACCACAAGACTAAACAGTGACTGCCCCAACTCCAAGGCTTCGGCAAAATCATCGTGCGGAATTTTACCATGCACTTCCTCGCTGCTCCCGTAATAGATATTTGGCCGTTTCTGCTTTTGTTCTCGGCTAGATATTTTTGTGGTCTTGTATCTTCTTCAAGTTCTTCTTTACCAATGCCAGTAGACACATATGGAAGAAGTTAATCTCCCTTTTTTCGTTTATTCGGGATGTCGTTCGGGAATGCAACAAGCGTGGATTGATATTCCATAGACATTGACGAGTGAAGCAAAGTGAAACTCGGGCGAACGGGAAAAGAAAACATATTTTACGATTACACGTGCGAATTTTGCCAGATTGACACGTGGTGCGCTTCTGGTTTGCAGGATTTTATCTTCTGGGACTGGTTGGACATTTTTCTTTTCTTTTCTTCTCACATATTACGCTGCAAAGGTACTTGTCAAAAACATTTCCCCAAAGTGATTTCAGTGGTATCCTTGACCGTGCCACGAGTCACCCTTGCATGCAGGATCGTCGTAAAATCTTTCCAGTTCACGATTATCGCATTCCTTCTTGACGTTTGGATGGACTTCAAGCATTATCACATATCCTTACTTCCAGATAACTTTGTTTATACTTAACCGACAATCGTTAGGATTTTACCGGTTATAGAAAGTGAGATGTATGGAGAGGAAGTCTATCACGTATATAAATTTTCACACCTTCCAATATTCATGCAAAGATATGGGGTCAAAAAACATTACTTAAAATAGCTACAAAAACTGTCAAGCCATAGAATTTTAAAAAAAGAGGAATTTAAACAAGTTGCTAAGAATATAACAGAGAGAGAGAGACGTGCCTTACAATATTAAAGATATATGAATGATAAAAATGACCCTCTTCAAACAACATCAACATATGCTTTCTCACCTTAACTTGATTCCTATATAATAATTAACACTGGATAGTTATTAGACAAAATCAATAAGTCTACATTGCTTACCATATGCAAAAAAATTAAGCCAAGAAGAGTGTCTACTCAAGACGCATAGTACGAGAGGCTCCGGCGGACTTTGAAGAAGATGTGGAAGTTGATTACATGGTTTGATTTAAGTCTATTGCTAGATGTAGAATCTATGGAAATCCTGATAATCGGTTTCCAAGTTGATCATGCTCCACTAACTCCATATCCAAAAATATTAGGAATCACTTTCTTTGAAATTATGTCACCTGTGATATAGGTAACCACACGGAATGCACGTAAGTTAGTACTTCATAATCATATAAGCCATCAAGAGCTGAAAAGAAATATTTATGGAACCCAAGATAGACTCCTTAGAGAGTTGAACAGAAATAAGTAATGAAGTGAAGTGACTGCTGACTTGACGTTGAAGTCTAGTTGGTGAAGGGATTTTATGCTGACGGACTTGCGTGTGGAAAACCTGCAGATTCTTGACTATGTTGGACTGATATTTTGTTTCACGACGGGTGTCAAAATGATCTTAGTCGCAAGAGGTTTGAGCATGGAGGTGTCGTAGATTCTGATAATGTTTGCAAAGTTCCCGTATAAAGTGTCTGAAAGATCTGAGTGGAATTTAAAAACCTTATTTTTTCGCCACCTCTCATACTGTTAGATGAAAATGAATTATTACACCAAGTCGTTTTGGTCAACAAGGAGGTTTCCAGACCCCCCTAAAAGTGTGTAAAATAAATTAAGCCCAGTCGCAAACTGCCATGCACCTACTCGACCGACGGAAGGCATGGATATAGTTGAAGCGACTGTACCGCCGCAGGGATGACAGGGCAGGTCCACCGAGGCTGTCCTCAAAGGGTCCCACTACAAGACAGCAACGTACAACAAACGATCTGGAGTTCGCTGCTTGGACACTAACCAGTCCGGTCGACACCCACAGAACCCGAGTTACAGAAAACCACACCGCGATGTCGAGCCCCGCCACGCCCCCCCACCCCCCCCCCCCCAACCCCCGGTCAAGTTGAACTCATTGAGCCTGACTGCGGTCGAATTTCGGTCGTCTGCGCGCCTGCGTGCCTGCCTGCCTACGACTTGGATGGAACCTGGTAGGTTGGTTAGTCGGGGGCGATTGGTTGGTTGGGATGTTGGTTAGTGGTTAGTTCGGTGTCCAGAGAGGTCGATTTCCAGCCTTCCGGGCTCGTCGATCATGGCACGGGATATTCGGCAAGCGTCGACGATTCGAACGCTCTGCTTCTTGCCATTGTCGCGCGAGCGATAGAGCGCAACGGGCCGAGTGGGCGCCTATGGCAGCGTCAGCGTGCGCGGGCTGCTTGAGCGGCGGGTTCTTGAACCTCGGGAGCTCGCGAGGCCCGCAGTGGAGCTCTGCAGATGTGGATTTCGGTGTCGGAGTCGGAGGCGCGACGCTCGGCGGAGGAATTCGGTTTCGGAGGTCGCGATTGCAGGAATTTGTGGTGCTGAAAGTGTGTGCGAATGGGCAGAATTTGCCGCAGAATGTGGATTTGCCGGCAGTTCTCCCAAAGAAGAAGAAGAAGCCGTTTTTGACGCCCTTGAAGCAGCAGAAGAAGAATCGTCGACCTCCTCCTGCGGGTGACGGGACTGCGAGAGCTCCCGCCAATGGAATGCTGGTGCAGAGGCTCGTTCCGGTGGCTCATACCGTGATTCGAGCCAAGGGAATTTGTGAGCGAGGAGTCGCCCGCCTCGTGGAAAACATCCCGGTGAAGACCTGCAGGTACTCGGAGAGGCCTAGTGGTCGGTTTCGCAGATTTTCCCGTAGTGATGTCTGCGCTTATTGAGGCGGAGTCGGCACGTGGAAATTCGACCTAGACCGCCATTTAACGAAGAGCAACGTTCCGATTTTATGCAAGTATGCAATTTTCGTTTCTTCTCTATGCGCATTATTAGAGCTCCATTCTTTTCCAGAGAACGGAGCTGGGCAATTGCCCTAGGGTGAGCTTTCTGTGTGTTAGATTTCGTGTGTCTGTATAGTGATGAGCTTGCTTTTCTCCAGGTTTTGCACAGAGGTTCACATCGGACCCGTCGGTCATAATTTGGGGACATGTCGAGGCCCTGGATCGAATAGTCGAAAAGGCCTTCATGACTGGCTGAAGGGTAGTGCCGACGACATTATGGTGCCCGTTGAAGCTTACCATCTCGAAGATAGACTTGGGCAACCCATTAGTCACGATAAGCGGTTTGATGTCGACAGAATATCAGCTGTTGAGGAACTTTGCATTCAGGCAGGTGTAGATGACCCGAGATATCCAACTGTGAGGTATTCTGCACCTGTAATACCGAAATTTCGGAAGAAAGTGGAAGATGCAAGCCGGTCAGGAGACGCGCAGGATATTTCTTACAGAATTAAGGAGAATAATCCGAAGAAATTTGCACATCCCTTGGATGATACGGGTTGGACAGAAGTATCGATGCAGGAGATCAATTCTGAAGTAGGAGAGGATGTGGAGACATCAATAGAAATTAAGGATGACGAAGACATGGACTCTGAAGCCCTTGCTTGTGAGAGCAACAGCGCATTTGGAGAAGAGCTTCTCGAGATTTGTGCAGAAGACGACTTAGAAAGTGTTGCAGAGAAAACCCTGACAGCATGGGAAATCATGCGCCAGGGTTCACGACGCCTGATGACTAAATACAGAGTAGTTGCCTGTGGGTAAGTAGCCTTGAGAAGACAGCCTCAAGACTTAGTCATTTCTGGCACAAAGTGCACTTTCTCACACGTTCCGGCTCATTCATATCGACTTTCTTTTGTCCTAAGGTGGAAAACACACTAAGCTGTCACAATTTTTGTCAACACAACTCTTTTCGTCCTGACAGTGGTAATTGTTGCGTTGCAGATATTGCCCAGAAGTCCATGTTGGACCAAAAGGTCACAGAGCCCGGAATTGCGGGGCCTTCAAGCACCAGTGGCGTGATGGGAAACACGGATGGCAAGATGCTGCCTTGGATGAGTTGATTCCATCACAATATGTCTGGCACTTACGAGATAAGAATGGTCCCTCCTTAGAAGCTGCTCTGAAAAGGTTTTATGGGAAGGCTCCTGCTCTGGTTGAATTGTGTGTACAAGCAGGGGCAGCTATTCCAGAAAAGTATAAACCGTTGATGAGGCTAGATATAGCGATCCCTACAATGGAGGAAGTTGAACTTGTTGTATGATAATAATTTTGGAACATATTTCTTTGTAAAGCCGATTGTTTCGGGTGAACCTAACGTGTTTTCTTCTGCTTTTACGACCTCGCTTTACAGCTCCACCCGGAGCTATAGTTGACTTTGTTTGCCTAGATGCTCTTTTGGCCCTTGAGAGGGAACATACGGGGGCAGCTGCAGATGCTTAGTAGGTCAGGTCTTTTATTTGTTTCCTTGGTAGTCCATCAGATGTGAGAGATATGTCACACAGCTGACGAAATTCCCGAAGTAGGTTTGAAAGGTGGAAGAACGGGATCTGATCGCGTTTGCTTTGTATTCGCTTTCCACCCATGAGTACATTCATGTTCGACACGATGCACAACATCTGACTTATTATGCATCGGCCAAGAGTCTGCCAGACAGAGGGACATATCTTCCATCGCAGGACTTCGACTTGTTCGGCTACCGAATGAATCCAGCCTGTCAGGGTGTAGAATCCTCCAGAAAGTCATTCTCATCAGCATTGTTTTCATAGCCCAGACGTATGCACGGTAGTATACATGTTTTTTTCCCGAGTAGGCACATGTACTAGGGGTAATCTAAGTAGTCTCAGTCACAACGGTGGTAATCCCTAACTCGCAAATAAGAGAGCTCACAGAAAATGTAACTGACAACACCTTGTCGATGTTCATATGCCGCACAAAATCTGCACATACTCACTACCAAGAACATGGTTTTACATCTCGCTGGAACTACTTGGAAACAGTTTGACCAAAATACTTGAGTGTTATATGCGTTACGCACAAACCCATACCACTTCTCTGTCATCCGCACACCGTTAATACTTTCTGTCACAAATCAGAATTTTACTGCGCACTGTTATACATTCGATCATGCCGAACCAGTGCAGTACTTAACTAGCTAGTTCCTGCCATTTTGTTGCACCGCTTCGGAAGAAGCACTGCACAGCTTAAAGCCGAGTTCGTTTAAGAAAACATAAGTTAAGCCACTAGAAGAAGCTCATCTGCTGTGAACCCATAGCTGGACTTGTCACGTATACAAACTCATGATCCAGTCAGGACTTCTGAAACGTGCATCCAGCAAGTGAGATTACAACGTCTCCTATCTAACACGCATCATCCTGCAACAAAGATCTTGAAACCTATTGTTTGCCAATGAATAAGAGGGGAGGTAATTCCCTCCTCCGTGTCCTAGCTATCAACATCTAACCTCTGGAACAACCTAGCGGTAAGGAAAACTTTACAACAAGCCCTGAAGAGCCGACCATTACCTTTGGTGACACGTACTTTCACGAAGGTGTTGGGAACACAATCTGGGGGGTTGCGGGACTAGTCGATTATCAGAAGATAATACGACTCCAAATCAATTTTTGAGCTGAAAACACTATTGTACATTTCGTCACTGAGTCTGGTAGGGGTGGACTGATATGAGTTGATAGATGAATCAATCTAACTAAATTACAGACTTGTAAGCTCGCTGATAACAATCATGAATCTGCTTTCTATACAACATATACTTGCCCCTTGCTACAAATAAATGTAGATGTAGGTTTACTTTCAACTTCACGCAAGAGTTCCATATTACTGCAATGGGGCAATCTACGATCGGGATTCATGTGTTATACGAGCTCAAAGAAGTCGTTCAAAACATCTTCGCCAAGACTTCGATGAACAACTTACAAACCAAATATTATATACCCGGGTGCTCAGGTCAATCTCAATCGGTTAAAATTGGGGTTCAATGACGAAGCGCGATACAGAGACGATTTTGGCTGCCAAAGTTTCCAAAGTCGATCATGACTGGCAGTGACAAGGAAATCTGCTGTAGGAGACCACGCCGCATCAAATACATGATCACTGTGCGAACTGAAAACATTCAGGATGAAAATGTTAGCGTGCCACTTTTGAACAGAATTCTCGCATTGTGGCTTACATTTCACGATCATTATCTTAAAAAAATTATCGTCTAGTCACACCAGCAAAATTATCCGATCTAACTAGTACCCTTCATGTAATAAAGCTCAGCCTCCAAGTCAAGGAAGTCATAGCAAGTATATTCATGGCATCTAAGGAGTACAAGGAAATATATCAGGAAACCAGGATAATATGGACAGGAAGGCGGTACCTGAGTATATGAAGGCACTCAAAAGTGGAAGTATTGAAGAGCCTTACGGTTGTATCCCCGGATGTTGTAGCGAGCAATTTCCCAAATGGAGAAAAACACACTCTTTTAACTTCCCCGGAGTGTTCTTGAAGTACAGCTAGAGGGCTCCCCATTCTTAAATCCCAAACACGACAAGTTTTGTCGTCACTTCCGGTAGCAAGGAGAAGACCTGAGTCATCTATATCCACTCCTATGACATCCTCCTGATGGCCTCTAAGAGTTTGCACATCCACAGCTGATCGTGGATCCCACAGTTTGGCTGTGAAATCAAAAGATGCAGTTGCTACAAGATGTCCCAAAGGTTGAAAACACACTCCGTAGACGCCGTTCCGATGACCCTGGAGTTCAGGTAATGTGTCAAATCCGAGCTTCAAGTCAGGATAAAAATCAGAACTTCTTTCGAATGGAAAGAAGGTGGAACATTACGTAGACAAGTCCTACATGAAAACTCGGTTGACATGAAGAGATCTGCCTGATAAGAGCCAGGTCATAGAAGGAAGCAGTCAAAGTTCTCTTTGTGCATTCGCTATCTGGAGCACCCCGTTGGTTGTTACTTTGCGATTAACTTTATACTAATCCCAACTGGACATTCCCCGTTAATCAACGGGGAATGTCCAGGGAATGGTCTGATAAAAGAACTCCATGAACTTCCAGGAGATTCAAAAAGTCTTTCATCTCATTCATTTGGAGTACACTAGACATAACTACTGAAATAACATACGCCTAAAAGGAGGTCCCATTTTTAAGATATGATCTGGTTGCTACAATAAAATCATTCTCTAACTTCGACTCAGAAGCTTTACACAACGGAAACTTTGGAACCATTGTACCTTCAAGGTTGTAACAGGGATCCCTTTCTCTGCATCCCAGATCATGCTGGATTTGTCATCCGAAGCTGTGGCAAGTAGATGCGTCCCCTGTTTGAAAGATAATCCATTCACCTGTATACAGGAAGGAGACAACCAATGATTCAGTCCTCAGCGTCAAAAGCATTCCTCGGATGTAATTTGTAGTCTTTTGGTTCACAATAGAATGAAATCTTGTACTGTTCACGGTTTAATAGATTTCAAAGATTTTAATGGACCTAGACAAGACTACACCGTAGTAAAAAGTACACCGTACAGCTCCTAATTCGTTCTGTACTTCTATTCTCTTCTAATAGCTTCTTCTAACCTTGATCTTAAGGATGACAATAAAAAAGTTTCCGAACGAAATCTGAATAAAAGCATGTGACTTGTTATTCATTTATCGTCTCTAGTCTTTACAATGTACGATAATTGACACAAATATATACAGAAAAGACTAACTTAGCACCATAGCTCCCCAATTTAACCTTTGCAGGCTCGGTAAGAATGTGAGAAGAGACAAAGGTTAATGAGTAGGATCAAACAGGTGCAAAAGAAAATTTCTTACCTCATCAGTGTGTCCCTCAAGAACACGCAGACATTCTCCATTATCGGTATTCCACAAACGGCATGTATGATCCGAGCTGACCGTGCCAACAAGATCACGCTTCGCAGGAGAAAACTTTACGGCATAAAGTCCCAACAAATGCCCTGCAAGAACAGATACTTCCTCTTCCAGGTGAACATCATAAACCCTACACAAGTGATCCCAGGATGCAGTCGCCACCAAATTCCCAGAAGGGCTTACAGCGATACCATGGACTGGACCAGAGTGCATAGAAAATGTGTGGCCAAGTTCCCATTTAGTTGCTCCTAACCTCTCTTCAACTTTTGCCGGCGGTCGCCTTGTGCCCCTAGTAGAACTAATTGATGTCTCCGTAGTACATGAAAGATCTGGAAGGCTCATGCTAGGATGAAAATGAGCTCTTGTGCTGTCAATATCGACATCAAAACCTGGAAATGTGCTTTCACCAGAATAGCTAACGTCATTCTCTGCATCCCAAGCAGCACTACTATCTGCAGCACTACTTCGAGGAGTGGGTCTAAATCTTGACCCTACTAAAGCCTGCTTGAGAACCATATTCTCTTCAGACAAAGACTCAACTTGTGCAGAGAGATCTGCCTTCAGTTTTTCAAGCTTTGCAACCTGCACTTTGAGCTTCGCTCTCTCAACAACAACTTGCTGCCAATGCTCCGCTAATTTGCCGAGCACAAATTTTACCTGCACATCTTCCTCATCACTAACAGTTTTCTGAAAGAGCATGGCCAACGCGGACCTATCGTTACTAAAACCATCTCCGCATTTTTCTTTCTTGGACTCCGATCTATCATGATGCTCGCTATTTCCAGAGCCTCCCTTCTTTGAGTTTCTCTTACTTCCATCATTTTGGGCATCTCCACTCACGCTATCCTCGGGCGATTCTCCAACACTGAAAAAGAAAACAATACCAACGTTAGTGTAATCTCTATTTAGAATCCATTTGACATTCTAAATTATCGTTTACGAATACACTTGTACCATAGTGGAGTCAATCACGTTCAGACATTTGAAAGCTCATGATACTACAGGTCCATAATTACATGCGTACGCAGGAAGAATGTAGAAACGGTGGGGCTTTGAACTTTATGACAGAGGCATCAGTTGTTCTAGGTTCTGTCAGGAAGTTTCTGGCATGCAGAACTAAATTTGAGCATGTCCGGTAAAGATAAAGTAAACGTGTAATCACAAGGAGAGTACCGAGACTGAACACCTACTATCCCAAAGCTACTGAAGCAAATCGGATGTTATTAACATGCAAGCGTTTCTAAACCATAAGGTTGTAATGTACATGTCAATGAATAAGATAATGGTCGCGAACTTGTTGCCTACCCAACAGATGTAAAAATATAGATTGGATAATGTTATCCCAACAAGTCTTTTGGGACAAATTTGTACACCAGTTTGTAAGGGAAGTTCTAACAGAAACAAGACAGAGAATAGAAACAAAGAATCAGTCCCATAAAACTATACAACCTACATTCCGCATAGACATCCAATATTATAAATTTCTAAATCCTACCAGTGACCGCGTACAATCCCTCGGTTACAATTCAAGCGTTGGCAGAAGAATCACAGTTGACCCTAATTTATAAGAGCGAATCGATAACCTCTCATCTCTCAGGAGTGGATGGCACTGATCTCATTGAACTATTTTGCCCTCTGCTTATGCCTTAAACCCCACAGAGACTTAATTATCAATAATTATCCATCTTTCAAATTATGGTATTTGAACAGTGATCTGCTCGTTATTTCAATTCAGAAGCCAGACATTCAATTGCATTTTCCCTCCATACATACCACGACGACAACACAACTGTCTCCCCAACCTCAAGTTTTTCATCAAAACCATACGATGGAGATTGAATGCCGGAATCGTGGTCATAAAGAGGTATCAAGGCCGAAGGAGCCGGGATAGCATAGCGGCAGACTGGACATGAGGCATCGCTCCGAAACCAAATTGCTGCACATTGAGTGCAGAATACATGACCGCAAGGAGTGATCCGAGCCTGCAATCCTCCTTCCTGATCCGAAGCTCTTTCAAAGCATATTTTGCAAGTAAGGCCCATGGTGATCAATGCCATCCAACCATTCGTGACATACAACTATCTCCCTTACAATTCAAATCCCTGTCTTCCACAATTCCCTGCTTTTACACCATGTAATCTCCATGCTCCTCATCCTCCCGCAACGTCACTCATCATGCTCCTACTATAAGTTCCAACGCATGGATCAACCTGCTCGTGATACGAAACACGGTATCACAACCACCTGACGGAAGTTATACACTTCTCATTCATGCGTTTCTCGAAAGGACAGAAGACCTTCCGCCAGTCAAATGGACGCTTGAGTTATAGATTCGTATCACAGTGTATCAAATCTATATAAACCCTGAGGAGGGCACCAATAGCGGAAGTAGAGGACACGACAGGAATCCCGTGATCCGCAAACCCTGCATCCCCATCGTTGTCAATGACAAATTCGTGGGCAGGAACCACATACGCGACACTCCCTCTCCCTTTCTCTTATCCTCCTCTCCTCAGGTGTAAGTGAATTCGAGATGAGTAAGGCGTAGCGACCAGAATGAGCAAGCAAATTGGCTTAGAATCAGGGGATTCCAATGCTGTAGCATGCTTCTGTTCAGTCCACCGCAATCGAGATGAGAGAAACCTTAGTCCCTTCATCACATGGCTCAACAGCGGGTAAAAGACAGACAGCGAGGTTTGAATGAGACAATCTTGACTGGTTGGAAACGCCTCTGACCAGAATGTCCAATGATTCAGAACATTGATGAGATGCGTATGCTGAGTGCAGGAAAATGTGGGAAGGAAGCGAAGCGAAGCAAGACAAGGGAAAATGGCAGATGAGGTGAGAGGAGATGGATTCAGGAGTTCACGTAAGGTAGAACAAAGAATGAATTGCCAACAAAGAAAAATGGGGCAGCAGGACAGGGCAGGGAGGGCAGACAGAGTATGATAAAGTCAAGGTGCGTGACGCTCCACAGTGCCCACAAATAACCGACTTACTCGATTCATACATGCGCTTTTCCACCAGTTTGCGCTCGGCTTCTCCTCTATACTCCTCGCTCTACTTGCCAATCAGTTCAGTTCAGTTCTACTACTACTTCTACTCTAAATCAAACTCCAGATCCCATCCGTTCCACCAAGCAGCTCCAGTGTTGGCTTTCGCTCTAATCCTCCAGAGACTCTCGCTACTCACGCATGGAGTCTCTGGTTTCAAGAAACCCCTCTATTCGGCAACGTCTTTAAGGATGTTCCGGTGTAAGGGGGTTTATTGAACGCCATCTTAGGACGCGAACTACTGTGTCATCTAGGGCTATTAATGGAGCCTCCAAGACCTCTGACAGAGTCTTGTCAGAGACTGTTGCTAATGCAGTTCGAAATTATATACTATAGGCCCAGCCCTCAGTCCGCCAGTGTCTGCTTTGGACTCTTGGGAATAATCTTGGAGCCACCGATCACTCCTTTGAAGCTAATCAGCGCCTGACATGTCGGAGTTTGATGCGAGCAATTGCAAGTACTGTGAGTCTTAAATCGTTTGTTTTCGTTCACAGGTGGAAATATGTTCGCCCTATGATGGATAACCTGCTCACGGACGTCTTCGAATCCGCTCTTTGCTTGCTTCCGTGAATAACGTGGAGGTAATCATACGGAATCTAGCGGAGCCCATAACCATACCTGAAGTCTTTCACCTATTTCGTATCTACCGTAGATTAATCAAACCATCCCTTGAACCTTGGCCTGGCTTGATGATATTTGCAGGTTTGACTCCAAGTTCTATTTACAGTACTCCGAATTGCAACAGAGAACTTCCCCGCATCAGGAACACATGCTTTGGTTTTGAGCTTCTGGACGAGCATGAAGAAATAATAAGCACTTAGACATATGGGAGGACGTGGAATCTTTCTTGCTACAAGGCCTCTGGACACCAAGATTCTCTGCTTACACTGATCTTCCGTGCAAAAGATGTAAAAAGTATTCCGAATTTGCTAACTGTCCCTTAACCCGCTGAAAGGTCCATCAACCAGTCTTGTGTGCCTGGATCCGGCAAATTTCGCCAAGGAGCACATTCTGGAGAATTTATTCATAAGGCATCATCGCTAGAGAGTCTTTCCCGGACATAGGAATTTGGTTCATAGGTGTTTCTACCGAATTCGACTCTCCTGAGCATACCTTCATGGCTGCGTTGGAGGCCTTACATGTTTTTCAAGTTTCCTGCCACTGACCCGCCCTGCACACTCACTCTGTGAATTAACATGAAGCACACGAAAATCTGAATATTAAGTGCATCAACACCGGAATCTCCACCCTTATCGAGGAATATATTGCTCTTTGCGAGTTGCGAGACTAGTACTTAAACCTTACAATATCAAGCAACCGTGGCTAATGAACACAAAGATTGTAAGAGGACTGCATAGCACAAGAAATGACTTCGAGCATCACCAACGCTCATCAAGTCGATCCTCTTGATTATTCTAGTCTTCCTTGAAGCCATTAGCTTCGGTAGAGGCAAACCATTCCGCTAATGCTTATTTACTCACATTATTCTACCCAAGTGACGAGAGTCTTGACTTTGGGAGACTTTCACTGATTCTTGGACGGGTCACCTTCGTTAACAACTCTACGACTCTAAATCATCACCTTTTTATAACCTGTAAGCAAAGAACCCACTTTCCGCAGAAGAAAAGCGAAGACGAATAAATTCGGGAATCAGAAAGAATCAAAGATCTCCGTGGCCCCAGTCGTGATTCTTCTTCCCATACAAGAATCCACTCACAACACGCCATATCTCAAGATCTGAAGAAAATCTCCACTTACCGGAAGAAGAGTGAGGAACGTGAAGACCCATCGAACCAACCAAAGTTCGTTCGAATTTAACAAGGAAGGTGTAATTCGCAAATTGGAGGTTTTTTCCCCTCACCATTCCTGAGTTAGAAAACGGGAAGACTCGTGCACCATAAGCTCACACCCATTCCATCTTTGCAGTGATCTCAGAATTCGGAAGCTCACTTAATCCTCGGAGGTTCAGCCACACGAGACCCTTGAGACATTTGCTCCATGGCGCGCGCCATCACCAGAAACTGGAGCGCGTGACGCGTAACGGCAGCCACCGTTATCTAACGTACTCATTTTTATTGCAGCAAAACAAGACATGCGAAACGTTTAAAAATAATATATCCAAACAAAATCATAGGAAGGCCCCATCAATTAGAACAAAATAACAGATGGGGCTAGCCCAACAATATCACGATTGTAAATATATAATCTTGAATCCATTATATCCTAAATCAAGAGCATACCAAAAAATGGTACCTAAACCAATTGCTCCTGATGATAGTATGAGATATTGTAAGCAATAGGTAAGATAACAAAGTCATACGAAGCGTTTAAAAATATTATATCCAAACAAAATCATAGGAGGACCCCATCAATTAGGACAAAATAATAGATGGGGCTAGCCCAACAATATCACGATTGTAAATATATAATCTTGAATCCATTATATCCTAGATCAAGAGCATACCAAAAAATGGTACCTAAACCAATTGCTCCTGATGATAGTATGAGATATTGTAAGCAATAGGTAAGATAACAAAGTCATACGAAGCGTTTAAAAATATTATATCCAAACAAAATCATAGGAGGACCCCATCAATTAGGACAAAAGAATAGATGGGGCTAGCCCAACAATATCACGATTGTAAATATATAATCTTGAATCCATTATATCCTAGATCAAGAGCATACCAAAAAATGGTACCTAAACTAATTGCTCCTGATGATAGTATGAGATATTGTAAGGAATAGGTAAGATAAACAAAGTCATGCGAAGCGTTTAAAAATAATATATCCAAACAAAATCATAGGAAGACCCCATCAATAAGTACAAAAGAACAGATGGGACTAGCCCAACAATATCACGATTGTAAATATATAATCTTGAATCCATTATATCCTAGATCAAGAGCATACCAAAAAATGGTACCTAAACTAATTGCTCCTGATGATAGTATGAGATATTGTAAGCAATAAGTAAGATTTACAAAGTGATGCCCTTGTTCACTCTCTTACAACCGTCCATAGTCGGAGGTGGAGAGGTATATCCCAGCCACATGGCTTTGACTGAATGTCCCCTCCGTATCCAAACACCATGTGACAAACTTGGCAGAATCGTTGCTAGATCAGCCCCTGCATTGGACTGGTCAGTTGCAACTGCCTTGATGTAAGCAAGGTGATATCATTTTTTTCTCTTCTTACCAAAGAATCCAGATCGAGTGTTATCGCTGGATATCTGGATTATGGAGGGTGATAATATGATCGCTTTCGAGCAGTCCTCAGCCCGCATCGCTTGAAAATGTGCCCGAGGTTATCACTTGGTTTCACTATATACTTGCTTGTTGTTCAGAGGACGAGATGTCATTGACACGGTGGTACTCTGATTTGATACGAAAGAAAACTATTTGATACGAAAGAAAACTAACTTCTCAAATTTGGGAACCTACCGAGCATTTTTCTTCTGTCTTTTCAGACTACTATACCAGATTGTTGTGTTCTTCAGTCAGGTGTTTCTTCTGGAAAATTATCTTCCCTTGCATTTGAATGTATTGAGAAGAATTATATTAGATCAATTAATCAATTAGTTTATTGTTCCTTTCCGCTGTGATGTTTACACGTAGTTCACATGTTTTGTAAAAGAGCAAGAAATTGTCTTTTTCACCAAGTCATATTGCAAATATATTCTTTCCTCTCAGAATTCCGGTTATATTAAGAATACTAGCCTACCAGTAGTTGTCTAGGGTTGTGAAGCCACCAATCCTTACAGGCATACAAAATGACCCACTCCTCCTCGTACTCTAGTGCGAATATGGATCTACGTGTGGGTGAATGCTTGAAGAAGTTGCTCAAATTGTTTCAACTCAAGTAGAGTACCCAATGACCACAACATGTGACACCATGACAACTGGTTTGATACAATATACACATGTGGAGAGAGTCACGAGCATTGCTTTCAGGGTTCGAGTCCATTCGTTTCTTAGTTGCGTAGGTTTGCTTCCTATAGATTAATACATGAAGAGTATGAAATAGGAAAGGTCCATGAAACACCCACTGGTATTAAATATATTAAATATTTCACCTGCCACAAATAAATATATGTAAAATCATCTACATTAAATCTTTCGTATATATATCATTTAAGTCTTATCCTGAATCGTTTCCTAATGAATCTCTATGCTTACAGTCTTTTAAAAAATCAGTTTGTATCAAATCAAAAGTTCAAATAAAATTCATTACCAATCAAAACAGTAGTACTCCTCCTTCGTACTATTTTAATGTAAAATACTCTCTATAACTGTATGTAAAGATGCAATATAAAATACATACAGAAGATAGGAAGAGATTCCAATTCAACAGAAGCCAAATAACTTGTGAGAACTACGTTATAGAGATGGTCAGTCTCGTTTATTGTTATTGAAATCGAGTACGTGGCATTTTAGAAACACACTTATTTGAATTTTCTTTCACATATATGCAATTTGTTTTAACGTATGTATTTTGATTTTATAGATCAGACGAAGATGAATTATAATTTACATTAAATGTGTGACGAGAAGTACTTTTACATATATTTTCACAGTAAGAATATTTATCAGATTGATATGCTTGATCTCTTTTACTGGATATCCAACACAGTTGATCAAAAATTTGCTTGCCAACAAATTGATACTTAATCAGATGAAAATCAAATCATTATAATAGTTAAAAAAAATTTGTAACGGATAGACATTTAAATAATTTCCAATTTACTTTTTGCTTGAATGACACTTATGCGTACTATGTTTATAAGACATCTGTTATAATTACAAAATTAATTCCAATTTTCATAACATAATTTATTTACTGAGTATATAAATTAAATGAATATGCATTTTGATGGGTGCTAACACAATATATGATATTATTAAATAATTCATATATCATGATATTCATAACAAGAATTATAAGATAAAGTCATCCTTGTAATGTATGTTTGTATAGATACATATGCAATAAGTTAAATATATCTGACAAACAACAAATAATATTGAATTATGATGTTGAAAAACTGTCCATCTGATTTTTATATAATTCATGCATCATCTTCGTTCAATATTTGATTTAATTTCAAATATTATATTGTGAGTTTTCTATTTTTGATGTTATATATATATATATATATATATATCTTGAAAATATATAATGATGTCAAATTTCATTGTCCTGACAGTTATATTTTGTAAGTTCTGCAGTGACTTCAAAAAGTGTACATGCAATCTCAAAATCATGTAAGCATACGATTAGTTCACAACATGTAATAGCGATAAACGTTATAACATAAACATTTGTTAAAACTATTTCTCAAATGAACAAAAAATTGTGTGAATTTTTCAAAAATCTAGATATAACAATTATGTATTTTTTAAAACTGGTTGTCAATATAATTAAAACTATAAATTTTTATGACTATAATTTGCATGATAAATCTACACAAATTATACTTATGAAACTTTCATTTATACAGGCGTATTACATTAAAATAAAAAACATATTGAGCGCTAAATCAAAAGCATGGAAGTGAAGCAATATAAAAGAATTTTATATAATCACAAATTAGAATTTTGATTATCAGTCTATGTAATCAGATAAGTTACATTGGAATCTTATAATATGTACTTTTCATGCAATTGAAAGCTTATTGATCAAACAAATCTAAATTTTAAGACTCTCAGTTGTTTATATCAAAGAGATACATTGTCGAAACAAACTTAAAAGTATCAATAAAAATATTTATAAAGATAATTTTCATATTTATAAATGTACATGTATTTTTAACGTACACGTTATTAATTTTTACCAAATAGACTAATATGATGTCAATGATCTTGACTTTTGTTTACAATTTGCAAGCTTTGTGCGTATGTTTGTTTATGAGAGCATGCATGACAAATGAAGATTACCAACACATGTGTATTCTCCAACCATGAAATCATATCATTCTTTGAAAACATGAACAAAATTTAGAAAATCACAGTATGAAAATTGAAGCAGATCACCACAATATACAATTTGCACTTAAAAGAAGTGAAGATGTCTAAATTTGAATTCCATCAACCTTGTATTAAATGTATGTATTACATGTATCATAATTATACACAACAACAATGTTATCATGAATGTGAATATTTGATAATCAACAAAAGTAAAAACCTCAATCATTATTATCAAATAAATAACAAAGACAAACAAATTAGTATCAACTATGTTGATCTTATAACTAGACTCATATTAACCTGCATCAAAATATTTCATGAAGCTCTATGCAAGTACAAGATTTTACATATCCGATTGATTATTTTTTAAATGTAATAGTTGGATTGATGTATATTACCAATATTAATAGTCTGATATGTTTAGTTCATTACAAGATTTAAATCAATTTGTGTGTATGGTCAAAAATCATATTTCATTGATGATAATTATACATATGTTAAATATTTTTATTCTATCTTTTCATTTTTAGAGTAATAACAATAACATGCCTCATGTATTCTACATCGAATTTATTTTATACATTAAATTTGTAGTAGTAAAATTGTCAACATATTTCTCATGGCATATGATTTATATAAATTAAATTGATTATTGATCTATTTACTATTTATCTACATTTTATAATTTGATCTATTAACTATGACAATGTATCGCTAACTATTGTTTATAATAGATTAATCACAATCTATTTCATAATGTGTTGTTGATTCAATTATTTGGATGATAACAATTGTTTATTGGATCTAAAAGTCATAACTACAAAGTTGATAGTAGTTAGAAAGTTGTTAACATCATGAAACATTTCAAGCAGATGACCATTGTGCATAATGTATGTATGTATATACATACATACATACATACATATCTATATCTTGTTTCTACTTCCTTTGAAGTTTAATCCAAATGTCATTTAGCTTATATTTTATGTCTTCAAATAATATATACTTTATCTTAGTGTATAATTTCTTTTTAATCAATCAACAAAATTAGTTTTTTTTATATATTTTGTATTCAACTTTAAGTATAGTGAAGACAATAATATTTCCATTGTATCGAATCATCTAAATTAATAATTTGTCACAACGCAATGAACATATAAGGTAGAAAAGATCATTGAAAAACATTGCCACTATATGTTTTTCATTTTCTTCGTGCATTCATATGAATTTCATATCTACACAAACTAAGACGACAATGTCTACAATAATGTCATAGTTTTATATAACACTAGCTATCAAGCTTTGAATTTACAATAATTAAATGGTTACAGTTTTACAAAGAGATATTATATGTCTTTTTTTGAACTTCTCTATTTACTTTTAATAGTCAAACATATATTCATTGATTAATTAAAACACAAAAGCTTTAGATCAGTGTGTATGTAAAAACTAATTTCAAGAAGCACAAAAATGTAGCTTTTGTAATATGAGAGTGAAAATTGATTCATAAAAACATCTTATATAACATAGATATGTAAATGTTGTAATATGAGAATGAAAACTAATAGATGAAAACATCATATTTAACATAGAAGGAAATTCTCAACAAATGTTACATATGCACATATCATTATGCATCCCATTAACACTAATAGTTTACAAGATGTCTTCGTAAGAATATTAATTTTTGCTTCACATAAATAGAGAAAATGTATGCAAAGTTATACAATCATTCTAATCGAAGGGTTTGAATGAGATTTTACATTTATTTGTTACATATTCAGTAATTTTTAGTCTTAAAACTTTCAAAATAATTATAGTTTTTTGGAAATTTTTTTTTCAAGATATGTCTCAAAATTTAATCATCGTGGATGTTACTTTTTACTTATAAAAATAATTCAGTAATTTGTTACCTTGAATTCAGACTGGACAAGTGTGATCTTATGCTTTGATAGATGAATAATAAACAGGTTGGTTGCCCAGTAATATTATTGCTGGGCAATTTAATTAATCCCGTTTGGATTGACATGTTCACCATTACTTTGTTTTTTTCTTAATAAAATAAAGAAGAAGGTCGATTAGCAACTTGTTTTGTTTAGCTCTCAAAGGAAGGGTTGACTTGGAGATCAACAATTTCTCCAAGAGAGATAAAGTCAAACCTCAAGTTGGAGCATCAGATAGAACGTTTGAGAATAACTTATGGCGAACTCCACCTAAACTTGTACTGAATAGAATTTGAGCATTTCCGGAAAATGGTGAAGATTTTCAGCAAACGAATGAGGAAGATTTGTGAATGTTGGAATTTTTTCGGTGCTTGATTTGACATGGCAATTGAATAAAAATAATGTGAATTGGAGACGTGAGGACTAACAGGTCTCTTTAAACAAGTTTGAAAAGTTAGACACGCGAACAGGAACAGGAAGAGAGGTGGTTGGTAAAGGCAAGTCTTTGCAAATGCATGTGAAACGGCAGATAAATTTAAACATTGATTTACACATGTGAGGCTTGAGAACTTAGGAATAAGTCAGGAATGTTTGAAAGATAAACATATAAAGCCTCAAAGCGACCAGAATCCTAAGCCTTCTAAACTTAGAACATCTGACATCGTGAACCCAAACCTGTATGAAATATCTAAAAATACTCTTTGATAATAATGATAAAAATATTTATGAATAATCTTCGATATTTGCAAATCTCCGATACGCTTTTGGGTCTCTAATTTTCTCGAAGAATTACTATGATCCGGTGAGGAGAATCTGACGTGAAAACAAAAGCCGGATGAGTCAGAGCGGTGGGCGGTGAATCTAAAAATTGCAAATGCACGTGAAATGGCAAATGAAATGGCAATCGAATTGGCACATACAGAGGAACATTTGAATTGCAGAGTTCAGGGTTGGCAAGCAGAAAGCTGAATAGGCAGGCAACTGTTTCTTGGGAGGCACTGAATTCAAAAATCATTTGGCTGTACCCTAAAGCATCTGGCGTGGCAGGCGGTGATTGGGCGGAATTCAACTTGTCCTTCTTTAGGTCCCCCCCTCCCTTCCCCTCCCCTACCCTCTCCTCCTCCTCCGTCGTCGTTGTCGTCGTCGTCCGCTGCCCAAACGCTCGTCCAGCGCCTGCTCCCGTCGCAGTCCTGCAGAGGCTCGCTTTCTCTCTCTCTCGCCGGAAGCGATTGATTGATTGTCGGGCAATCAGTGTCGCGAGCCACTTCACTATCCATCCTCCCGTGGCTCCTCGTCGTCGTCGTGGTGCGGATGTTGACGATTGATGTCAATGTCGATCGCTCTGTGTTCTGTCCTGTTCTGTTGGTTCGTACCACTGCCACTTGCAGCAGCAGCAGCAGGTTGAGGTGAGGTGAGGTGAGGTGAGGAGAGGAGACCAAAAGCGTGACCACCTTCAGATGGCGATGTTTTTTCTTGGGTCGAGATAGAGAGACAGACGAGGAGGGCCAGAGGAGTCTGTGAGGACGAAGCGAATGCGATTTGACAGAGCAAGTGAATTGAATTGAGCGGTAGGGCGGTGCCACGGGCTCGAAGAGTGTGTGAACATTAGAGTGGGTTTTTTTTCCGGAGACCGGGGGATGATGAGGCGGAGGAGGAAGGTGGAATGAGCATCGAGCTCGGTGGACAGAAAGTGGGATGCGGTGGTTTCCGTGCGGATTGTTCGAACGGGGCGCTCCGATCTTGCGCTCGGCGCTCGTTCGCTCGCTCGTTCGGACGGCGGCAGAGGAGTTGCGTCGAACGGGAGTTTTGTGAGGGCGGTGATCAGTTTCGTCGTGCTCGCCAGTTGCGCCCGATTTTGAATTTCCTGCGTCGTCCGATAAACGCTAGCCCCGCCTCTCCGCGGCCTCGTTTTTGGATTCTGAATTGCGGGCGGTCCCGGCTCCCGCAGCCAGTCGCCGTCTTCGGGTCTTCGGGTTTAGCTCTTCGATGATTCCTCGCAACCATTTGCTCTCTTCCGGTTTCTTGACCTGGCGGCAGGACGTTGCAGCTGCATTCCGAAGGTAGCGTCCTCAAGGGCAATTTTCGGAGCGTTCAATTCGGCCCCTCTGTGTAGTTTACCGTCTTCGGCGCTTGTCCCATCTACCTACCGCGGGAACAATGTCATCGTTTGAATAGTTGAAGTGGGTCCTGTACATCGCAAGCTGAGGGGTCTGTCTTCTCGGCGATTCTGAGAGTTCGGAGGTGGCGGGCGGAGCATTCTTCGCTGCGGGGCCGTGGAAGAGCAGGTGTTTGTCGACTAATCAGATGCTTCAAATGGCCGATAAATTTGGTTCATCTGTTGCGAGGGAGCCGCAATTCTCGGACGTATCGATCCCGGTTTAAAAGTTGGTGCAGGGCGTGAATTTCTAGCGAGAGATGGCTGCTCGCAGGCCGAGAACGAGCGGTCGGGTTACCTCCAAGAACAATCCGGGCGTTGTCGAGAGGGATGAGGATGCTGGTGAACGAGGAGGCAAGCTACGGGTCAGTTTCTCCTCTGGAGAGAGAGAGAGAGAGAGAGAGAGAGAGAGAGAGAGAGAGAGAGAGAGAGAGAGAGAGAGAGAGAGAGAGAGAGAGAGAGAGAGAGAGGTGTTGTGTCCGGTTCTGAAACCTTTTGCCCGATCAATTATCAAATGTCTCTGGTGCGATCTCGTTGTCAAGGAACTCGTAAATTCTACCACGGACCTCGCTTTTTGGACGGACGTTGTAAGTTAGAGAATTGTGTTCAAGAGTATCGACTCCGAGATTGATGATGATCCTCATGAATATTTCAATCTAGTAGCTCCAGCTAAAAATGCGCCCGTTGCTTTTCCTGAAGATTGGCTCTTTACAGAGGAGCTTATTCGAGGATGCTCAAGTGAAACGTGTGGTCTACATTCTGCTCGTCCTGCTTTCGTTTCTTCAGTTTTGTTCTTAATCAGACGCATCAAGGATGAGTGCGACATCGTTATCTTCTATCTTTCACTGTGTGACAGTTTATTTCATAGTGACGAGGTTTCGTCGGAAAAAGCGATTGTTTCGGACTTAGTGTCCCGGCATCTGTACAATTTCCTTTCACGCATTTTTATGCAATATTTGTTTTTCAGTCTACTCGTAACGAGAGGATTGTTGAAAGTAGGAACGTTGCGAATTTCCTTTAGCTCGATAAATCGCAGGACCTGGTCGAATTGATCCTTAAAATTAAGCTGATTGGTGGGCCGATCTTGTTGATATGTTACTATTTTGGCCCGAGAGCGTGGAAAATCCGATGCGACAGTTCTCATACGGAGGAAACGTGCTTGGGTTTAAGTTGCAATTAAGGGGAACGAGGGCAGGTGACTTGACCTGTTCATATCAGCACAGGGTCGATGACCACTTCATAGTCCTGAGCAATATCCAAAATTCGTTTCGATTTCGTAACTCGCACCGTGGGGGAACTTCTGTCGTAGCTGGAAGCGTTGTTCCTACAGCCTTCACATGCGCAGCCTTCAAGCCTCTTGGTTTTCCTGCCTGCTAACAGCTGTAACACGTCTTGATATTCCAAGGAACCAAAGCTTTGGAAGGTCTTCTCTCGTGTATGTCTGATGATTATCGCTGAGGACCTTTTCTCTAAGCGAGAAGTGTTTTCTCTGTTATTTTGTATGTGGCACAGAAACGGAAGATGTCGGATATGCTGGGACCGCCTTGGTCTAAAGATGACTTGGAGCAGTTCTATCAAGCTTACCGCAAGTTTGGCAAGGATTGGTCGAAGGTGGCTAACACTTGTTCACAATCCGAGACATTATGTTATAAAGTGATGTATTTTTTGTTCAGGAGGAGCGTGAGGATAGGTGTTTACATCTGAGCAACGTAATATATATTCGCACATCGTATCTGATCAACTATACCTTGCTTCTCTCAGTTTAGGCAGGCAAATCTTACTTGGAAAAATCTAAGCTCACTCCTATTTTTGACAGGTTGCGGGGAGTATGTCTAAAAGAACTGTGGAAATGGTAGAAGCTTTATACAGCATGAACAAGGTAAATTCGTTATTCTTGTTGATTCAAGGGATGATATACTCCCTTCAAGTGTATGCTCCATTGGAGGGGGCTTGTGAAATTTAAGTACTCAAAATCCTACTCACATCTGGTCTTTTAATGTCCAGGCCTACCTGTCACTTCCTGAAGCAACAACTTCTCCCGAAGTTTTGATCGCAATGATGACAGATCACTACAATATTCTGGTAAAGTTTATGAAAGATTTCTGCTGATTTCATTGCCATCCCGGACAAAGGATTTTTTATCCTTTCCTCTTCCGCATGCATCCTTCTTTTAAACTTTCTTGACTTTGTCCTCATCCAGCCTACCGTCTAAGTCTAAACGAAGTGTGTCTTGAATCATACAAATCAGGAGGAGAGAAGGAGTGAAGAAGACGAAGAGAGTAGTGAAGAGTTCGCAAACTCAGACCGTTCTCATCAGACGCAATCTCATCAAACCAGTTCCCGGCTACGGGCCCGAGTTACGAGCAGTTCAAACCCGGGAACTCTTAGCTATGGAGGGCCATCACCAGCCAAGAAGCCAAGAAGTGCAGCAGGTATGGATCAGGTTTTAGTGATTCAAGACAGGAGTTGCGTGCTCTGTATTCTTTTGAATTATGCACGTGCTCTAATGCATATATTGTTGCGCGCTTCTTTGCCATCAAGTACAATCCTATTGCCCTTTTTTTTGAACATGACAGACCTTTAGATTTTGGACACGATGTGATGTGAAATTGGATAATTTCAAAACTTGAAACTCCACAGAAGAAACATGGCTTGTACTAGATAGTGTGTAGCTGACATAATTCTATCTTGGTTTGTTGCAGCTAGTAGACCGCGTATAGTTGGAAAGCGAACACCACGATACCCGAATGGCAGTGCGTTGGAGCCGAGGATGAAGACAAAAGTAGTTGCAAACAAAGCCCTACAAGAGGAGACATCAGATGAGGATTATGATTTCTCGAAAGCGGCCCAGACTCTTGTCACAGCCTCACAGAGAGCAGCGTCACCCTTAGTGGCTGCTCATACACCGAGCAGAAGAAATAGTCGAGCAGCTCTCCAAAATGGACATTCAAGGGTATAACTCTTGACTAAAATTCCCAACTTCTCGGGAGGTGGCAATTTTATATCATATCGTTTGAAATTGTCTGTTAACGTGCTCTTGCTTCTGATCAATTATACAGGAGGCTCCTTCAAAAGCAGAATCCGGCGGATCAGGTCCGAAGCACACTGCCTCAAACAGTGGTGAAGTTGGTCACGATGGTAGTCATGATAGTAAGGAGAGACGTAATAAAGGAAGTCGCACTGCCACAGCAGATGAAACGGATGTGGTGGATGGTGTCAAAAGGCGCCCTTCAGACGGTAAAGGCAAGTGGAAGAAACCACTCCCCAAGAGGCTCAAGCTACAAAAGTTGGAGAAATATGATGACGCTAAAGAAGAATGTAGTCAATCTGGTACACAAGATGCAGATACTAAAGAAGAAGACGAAGAGAGGCAGATGTCGGGGCAGAAAAAGATGCGCCACTTATCTCAAAGAACGAAGAAGAGAAGTCGACAACTTTTTTCAGGAGGTGCTGACTTCAAACTACGCTGCAGTGATGTTATTGTAGCTTTTGTTGTAGATGTCGGTATGGAGTTTTACCTGCTAGATTTGGTATCGTTCTTACTTATTGGGTGCCTTCTTTTCAGTTCTCACATTCTAATTTTTATCGGCTGAATCTTTTTTGTTTGTCCAGAGAATCAGAGCACTGCTCTAGATACTCTGGCAACATTAGCAGATCTATCTCTCGCCGGTCTGCTTCCTTCTCCTACGGGTGATTCAGGTAATCATCTTGGTCTGAGTTGGCGAGATCAAGAGCTTTGTCACAACATTCCAAGGTACATGTGTTGGCACTAGTCATGATTAGTGGAACCACTGCTGACTTTCAGTGAATTTCTCTAGCAGATCCCGGAACCAGCTCCTTTAGAGAAAAGATAGAGGACAAGATTCTGAAGAGGAAAGAATTTAGCCCTCCTAAGTGTGCTGGATCTGTTGCTTCTCTGAATGACAACGCCGAGAAAAGAGAAGATAGGAAGGAAGACGCTGAAGAAGAAAGGGGGATCGAAGAATCTGAGAAGGATGACTCACACATAGTGACAAAACCCGGGCAACTGTCCGCCTCACCTACTGACTCTCGAAAACGGAAAAGGATGACAGCAATTGAGAAGGTCAGTTTTTGGTCGACTGTAATTTACGTTCTTGTATCTTCTTGTATCTCTGTGAGCATTCTTGATGGGTTTTTATATCAAGATTCATATCATGTAACATATTATTTTCTCATTTACTCTCCCAATCATTATGTCTGATTAGTACTGTTTTAAGCCTTACTACACAAGAGTGCTTGAAAGGCTTTGGGCGTCTCCTTCCGCATCTCCGTTCGTTTCCTCGCCACTATTAGTGTAATCTCTAGGCTAATTTAAATTATACCTTACTTTGCAGATGGAATCACAAGGTAAAGTCGTTGCGGAAGAAATAAATCAGCGGAAACCTGACACTGAGGTATTGTTATTTCAAGGCACATCTCACCTTCGTATATGTTTCTAAAGTGCAACAGTCATTCAATTCTAGCATGGAAGAACAAACCTGGTAGTTGTACTATGGGATATCTAGGGAACTGCACCTTTGAAGATTACGACACCAAGATATTGACATGTATTTTGACTAAGGTTCTATTACTGTTTAAAACGAGGAAGAAGTCTTACGTAGAGAAGAAGTCCAAGAGTTGTGATACTGAGATGATTTATCTATTTCTCTTGTGCTGTATCTGATCGGTTTTGATGTGTGTTCAGGTTCCACCAGCCAAGATTGAGATTTCTGCAGCCTTAAAACCCCGGAGTAAGCCTAAGCGCACCCTCTCCGCTAAAGGGCCTTTGAAGCAAGGAATCAAGGCGAACAAAACAGGAGAAACTTCTGGAGTAGATCAAAACCAACTTGCACAGGGCCACGGACAGTCCGTGACCACTGATGAGGGCACATTGCCATTAAAACTTCGCAGTAAGAAGAAGGGGCTGGCCGAAAAGGGGCCCGTTAATCGCTTCAAAGAAGTAAGTACCGACGGACTGAACGGAGGAATTGAAAGGGACGCGGCTCATTGTCCTCACGCTACAGCTGACCTGGGTGCTTTCAACACGAAGGTACGAAAAGCAGAAGCGCTGAATGTGGTCACCTTTCCTAATATAGCCATGATATGTTTTTTCCATTCCCAGACGATTCGGGAATTTTTTTCCTTTGATGTCTACGTTTTAGTTGGATACACGGTCTCAGATCTCGTGACTGAGTTGTAGCAATACAACGTTTTTCCTTTAAGTCTCCAAAATTTTCAAGTTATTCAACTTGAAAGAATATTTAATATCATGAAAGTCAACCGTTTCTTTGTCATGTATCAGGCACGGCTGATTCATTGTCTTTCTCCCAAAGTACGACGGTGGTGTATGTTCGAGTGGTTCTATAGTGCTATTGATCTACCATGGTTTGCCCGCAATGAGTTCGTGGAATATCTCAATCATGCTGGTCTTGGTCATGTGCCAAGATTGACACGTGTTGAATGGGGAGTCATACGCAGGTAAGTGACCGGAGATTTTGTTCTCATATTTCTTTCAAGGAGGCCTACTGAGATATTATGGCATGGTTTGACCTCCCAAAATTTCCGTCTGTTGCACGTCCATCAGTCTATCACCTCACGTCCTTTTAGCTCAGACATTTTATTACTAACAAGTGAGAAGACTGCATCAAGAGAGGGTACCTAGAAACTTTCTTTGCTAACTCACGCTACAATGTTGTCATTTTGTGATCATAAACCTTCAAGAGAGACAATGTCCCTGAGACAGCCCAACAGCCCATAGACCTGAAGTGGACATGCCTTATTGTGAGTCTTCCATTTTACATAATCCTTCGCTATTACTAGCCAACCAAGTTCATCGACTACCGGATACTGAAAGATCTTATCCGGAAGTGCGGCATGTTCGGACTGTGTTTCCAGATTGCAAGAAAAGCTCCAAGTTTGCACACACTGAACAGAAAGAGAGACTTTATGTTTGAGAGCATTCGAGTCAACCAATTTCCCAATAAAATGTACTGGACGTGGTCTAGCTCAATGTTTCAATTGGAAAGATTGTTTATTCGCTTCAACGAAAAGTTTGTTGTGGGGGTCACCATACATGCTGGTGGTGCATTTTGAGTACTTCTCTTTGAGTTGTATTGAGTTAGATTTGTCTTATTCCAGTATGTTAGTCGTTTTGATGTCGGGCTTGCCTGATCTGTTTATCCGCAGCTCGCTTGGAAAGCCCAGAAGATTATCTCAGAGATTTCTTCAAGAAGAGAGAGAAAAGTTGGAGGCTTACAGAGAGAGCGTAAGAACGCACTATCACGAGCTACGGGGTGGCCTTCGTGAAGGATTAAATTCAGATCTAGCGCGGCCTCTCACGGTTGGTCAGCGAGTCATTGCCAAACATCGGAGGACGAAGCAGATACATGATGGGAGCATCTTGACTGTAGACCGAAATAGATGCCGGGTTCAGTTTGATCGGCCAGAACTCGGTGTGGAATTTGTCATGGTAGGATAATTTTTCCCAAATACATTCATTTCACAGAGGAGTATAACTGCCTAGTTTCTTTTCATAGACGGCCTCTAAGCAGCATACTTTAGTGTTTTTATCAGCTTGGATGGTTTCTTCGTCCAATTACGCAGAGAACTGAGTGTGATGGAAGAGGATTGTGTTGATTGATGTGCAGGACACTGATGCCATGCCTGTGCACCCTCTGGAAAATATGCCAGAGATGATGAGAAGGAAGCGAATAATATTGGATCCGTTGGACCGTACAGCAGAGGACTTGAAGCATGAAGCTAAGAGAGTCCGTGTAAGTGCTGCAGGAGCTGCGAGGGCTGCCCTGAATGAGAGGCTTGAGAGGCCTGCATCACTTCCAGGAATCCCATCTTTCTCTCCCTTCTTTCTCAACAACCTAACAAAGAGAGCTCAGGTTTGTCAAAAGAAAAACCTCACTCAGTCGGTTTTTGAAGTCTTTGCGTTTTGAATATTTTACGAAAATGTAGCGCCAGCCATTGCCTCGTATGTTCAATTTGTTAACGTCAGCATTTCTGTTAGGACTAGTGCCTGGGTATAGATATGATGGGCTTGTTATAACTCATCATTAATAAATATTTCCCATCAGTACAGCATTCGTCATATTTTCAAATAAGATGTTTACCTTGTTATCCCTTCTAGTGATCTGTGTATTGTCCCTGAATTTTTGAACGCAATGCTTGAGTTCCAGTTCAAAGTTTGCTTGTTCTTCCCGCACATTGTAAAGATTTTGGATACATGTTTGCAGGACGACTCTGTGGATTCAGTGCGTTTAGCGAAAGCAGCCACTAATGAAGCTGTCGCAGCAACTAAGCAAGCAATTATGTCACAGCCTTGCACGCCCGGACAATCACAGGCTCGGGAGACAGATATTCGAACTTTGGTGGACCTGGGCAACGCTCTCAACAAGAAAGTAAGTATGAATACGTGTTCTTAATCCTTAAAGGGTACCAAACTGCACTTGATACTTTGCTTACTTTGGGAACTTCAAGAAACTTGGTGAATCGAGGTTCCCATTATACGTTGGTGGATCTGTTCTTACTTTCGATATCTATCTCATAATACTGCTTGTTTATATTCTGCAATTTTATTCTGCTCTGATTCAATTTTCTCTATCTGCAGGAAGCTTTAGTTGTGGAGTTACGGCGTATGAACGACGAAGCTGTGTCCTACAAAGGTTCTGATATGTTTCAACGACAGTATGCAACCATCATCCTTCAACTGAAGGAAGTGAATGAACAGGTATGGAAAACATATTACTTCACAGTGTGTTGGAAGTTCAATATGCATGATTGAAGTCCAAATTCGGAAATGCGAATATAGCAAAACCTGAATAGTTGATAGAGGCTGCATCTGTGACAATGTTAGCACTATGAGCACATGATTGGTGCGAATACCTTCTATCGTCATGATAGTTCATTCTCAAATCTTGGTTGAGTACCATTATTGATAGGTTTACGAAGCCTTGAAGCACTTACGCCACCGGAACAAGTATGAAGACAGTGCTCTGCCACCATGGCATCGGCCAGCTGCTGCTCAAGCGACACCTGGTCGTCCAAGCTTTGTTGCTGGGCCTCTCGAGCCTGGTCCACCTCTTCCCGAGGTTGCCGCTTCAGCAAAAAAGCACGCTAAAGCTTTGGTTTCTGTTGCCATGGAGGTACATGCCCCCTATATATTCTTGCCATTCTGTCCTTTGATGCCATTTGTCTGGGTAATTTTATATATTAGAAGTAGAAGCGGGTTAGTATCAGAAACTGTTAGTATTAGAACAGTATTGATATAACTTTTACTTCACAGTGATTCTTCTGACACTTCATGCTTTTTCACTGGATGTTGTAGACTTTGTATAACTGTAAGTATGAAGAAGCCAATGAGTTGGTGAGCGCAGCGCTTGCCTCAGTCGAGAGAAAGCCACTTCCCACTATTACAACGGTTGGCACACCCAAAACGGAGGGTCTTTCTGGAGCAAGCACAGGTCATTCGGTTGTAGCTCCAGCTGTCGCAATGGAGGTTGATGAAGTCATAAAACCAGCGGCTCCACCTCTCGGGGAAACTGTTTCCACAGTCAAGACAGAAGATGTAGCTACAAAGGAGCCCAATCCATCTTCTAGAACTCAAAGCGAGGAGGATGAGTATTTGACCGATCTTATGGCCAACTGCGTTACCACACTGATGATGGTCCAGGTAACGTGATTACCCAAACTCAAACTACAAGCATTTATGTCGCATGCTGCTTATTATATACTTCCAAGCGCTAGTCTAAGTTTGATTGAAAATTAGTATGTCATATTTGGAAAAGCAGTTTTGGAAACCCTGTCGTTTATAGCCAAAGTAGGCAGATGGTGAATTTAAAGATGGGAGCTCTTTACTGTTTAAACAGATTTGAGTGGACTTGACGTGGTAAAGCTTTTGTTGGTTGGGAGTCGTGCAGACTTTAACAGAGGGGCAGTTTTCCCCGGCGGAAGTCATACAGACTTTGGACACTGCACTTGAGTCATTAAGACCTCGAACTGCTCAAAACCATCTTATCTTTAAAGAGATCGAGCAGCAGCTTGGTTACGTCAAGACACAAATTTTGACTCCCATACAGATTCCCATTCAGTCTGGTATTCCCTCCCCTACGGAGGGTCTCATCACCCAGCCCAAGGGTGTCTAATAGTTGTAAAATTTCGTTAAGTTAAGAAGCACTTGCTGCATTGGTTTTCTACGCAAGTGATTTGAAGATAGGCCTTGTGCCAAACCACTTTCAAGTGAGATTGCCCTGTGTGGATTAAGAAATAAATGGGCTTACTTTCTTCTAAAAAATCTGACCATTTTTTCACTGTTTTGTGTTTTATCGGGATTCGAAATCGTTTGGTATGTTTATTTTTCTACCTAGATTACGTTTCTTTAGAAAGTTTACTTGGCCTTCGTCAATTTCATGCTTTGTTGGCGTTGTTCCATAACCACCATTAAACGGACGGTGTTGTTAGTTCTGTCCACCTTTCTATATCATCATAAAATCAACCTTCAGATTCTTGCAAAGTTTGCTCACTGTCCTAACTGTCCCAAAGCCGCATAACTGTCGGGACTGTGATAGCAACACGTCAGCTGAGAGAAACAATGACATAATAACTGGTACTCAATGTTAACCATCGTTTTCGATGCCTGGACGTCCATCAAAATAATGAACTTGTGTACAATTTAACATATCAAAAGTATCACAAGTTTGGGCAATTTATAATCAGCTTCACTAATTTTAAACCCATTGAAAGTGGAAAACCAAGGTCACCTACTAGCAGCTTTTCACAGATGCCGCAACTCAGTTTTACAGTTTGTGTCTGTCTGAGGCCTGCAATACCTCCTTACTTCGGTGTACAACGTACTGATGCAATTTATGACAAGAGAGAAATATCACTGATAATTGGTTGCTTTTCCACGAGTTTGAAAAGCAAAAATCTCACAACCCTCTGTCCACTTTACACACGATCCGCTAGTTCTCTGCAAATACTCATTCTTGTATTCCACCTTGTTTATGGTTGTAATGATGGCTACTACGTGATACAGGGAGATTGTCTTCACCAACAAAGAGAACGTTTCTGGCGGAGATTTGAGGCCATACGCATCATTTCCTTCCTACACTGCTAGGACTGCCTAACTCCCATCACCTCCTCGACAACTCCTGGCGATTATCGGCATGCTGAGTGAGAATCACACATCTATGCAAAAGCCATTTGAGTTTCAGCTGAGTGCCATGCAGGAGGAAGCTAAAGCTGCACTAAGAACTGGCGAACTCCTTGAGAACCACGGTTCCTGCGTTGGCGAGGTTCGCTGCTCTGTTGCTTCCAAAATCTTTGCGATTCGACTCTCGAGCGATCCGGCTCCCAAACTGTCGTCAGGACGAAATCTCCATGTAAGTGAACTGAATGAGTGAAACCATAGATCTCACAGAGATTGCAAAACAACTGCCTTCTTGCATGTTCAAGCGATGCCCACCGCACCACAGTGTTCTGAATATGGAGTGCACTACACAAAGGAGGCTTAAGCAACAAAGCGTAACGGACAGCTTTAGCAAAGAAATTGATACCTGTATAGCCCTCTTGGGTAGCGATGATGCACTCTTCAGGCCCAATAAACGTGCCACCTGCAGGAAGAATATACAAAGTCAGTTGTCTCACATGCAGAGGAGCATGTCTACGAAGTCTGATATTTGCAGGTCTTCTTCCTTCTAAAGTTGACCTCTAGGAACGCGTTCTCATTCCTTGAGCTTCATTAACTGGAGATGAACAACAGCAAGCTGCCAAGTTTCAGAAGAGGAACGCGAACCACGAGCGAGCCATTACGCTAAGTCTCTTAGGCTTAACGTTATTGCTCGAATTATATGATAACCTCCACCCGAAGACACTAAGTTCTACTTGAATGCATATACGAACTGCACGAGTCACCATATCCAAGTTTCAGTATAGCAGGGCATTCAGATTAACTTCTCGCTTCTCAGCAGGAAATAGCGCTATTAGTATGTATCTTCGCTCATTCGAAGATGAAGATTATGAGGGCAGTTTTTATTTCTTTATTTGATAACAAGAATTTTGGGAACCACCTCGCTGCCAGTAGTACCCAACTACTGAAATTTTGCGAGATTCGTCCTTATGAACCAGACGGTCCCACAAAGTAACGGCGTATCTGCTTCAACTAGATTCGTGTGCCAGCTTCAAAGAGGTTTCACCTGAGATGATTTTAAACAAATGGCGGCATAAAGAAACATGATGCCCACTTGGTGTGCTTAGCTTATGATAGCGAGGTGCTCCCGTTTATCTGAATGCTCACCCCATGCTTTTTATCGTTATTATTTTTTGGCACGCATGACCATAGCGCCAGACACTGAAGGGAGGACCACGAAAGCATACACAAGTTTCATTGTTTATTTCTTCCTTCTAAATTTCTTAGCTGTGAACTGAAAATATGTATTTCTCCTGTGAGCTGCGTCGGCAGAAATCTTCCACGAAATATTTCTTTGACAAAACAAATAAAGTTTATACGCGAAGTCCTAGTGGAACTTGAAAGAGGAAATTTGACTACGTGTTTGATAGACTTAACTAGTAACAAGTTTATTATCTGTTATTATGAACTGAAGAGGGATATTGTTTCTTACTAACCTGTCTAAGTACTTTCTTCTCTCCGCAGCCTGCGGGCTCCTCCATGTTCACCACATCCCAGAGGGGAAGGTTAAGAAGTGCTGCCACTACGTCCTCATCCAAGAAGGGAAACCTTGCCTGCACACAGAAGAGCCTACTCTATCACGAAAATGACCAAACAAATATTGAAAGAGGGCCCGACTTTTTCTCTAGATGCAGACAGTGTACGTCAGAGTGCAGACCATGTGCTCACCTCTTTTCCATGATCTGAGAGACAACGATCATCTCTGCCAAGATTTCTTTTCCAAATACGATTGAAGTCTAATCTCATTTCCGCGTCTAGCATCACCCACCTACATTGCACCACAAAAGTTAACTTGTATGTTCAATCACGAATCCCAGTGTCCAACTCTTTCGATCCACGGTGCAGAGGATGCACTGCAGGAGTGAGAAGCCCAATGACGGTTCAGAAAGGTCTCTCTCACCCGCCCTGCTTAAATTTTGTGCGGTGGCGACCATAACCTCCACATTGCTCATCTGCTCCACTTCCCACCAACAAGACACGTGCCTCTGACTGTACAGGTTTTGTTTCTGACTCTTGACCTTGGCATCTCTGTGATGGGCTCTCATGGACATACCCGACTCCACTGGCAGCTAGCCACAAAGCTGTCCCAATATTGATATCCTACAACAGAAAACAGAGAGACAATGTTTACGACACATTTTCACAAACACATTTACCTAATAAATACAAATATATATGACATGGGGCTTCACACTGAAGGGTTCCTCATATTGAAGCCTCACCATTAGGAACGCTTCCTACAGTGTTTCAAATTCGCTATTTGAAATGATAGGATAAAGTAATGCCCTTTAATTTCCTACTCACTTCTCGCATTCTGCAGCATTCCTGGCATCCTCCTAAAGAAACATAATTGCAAAAGTTGGCTTTGTAGGGGTAAGGCAAACCATGTATGTATTAGAAGGACATATAAGTGAAAGGAGATGCCCTCGTTGACTTGAAAGATCTGAGAGCTTTGCGTCAATTTTTATCAATCTCCATCTGAAACGCATGTGAATAAATAAGTACATCATTCATTTATATGGACATACCCGTTGCGAACACCGGTGGAAACATCAGCAGAGGCATTTCAAGCATACTTCTCAGTTAGGTCGGAAAGGATATCTCCCACCTCCTCAAGGGGAACCTTTCCTCGAGCTCGCTCAGCCCCGAGATTGCAGTCACCCTATCCGGGGCAAAGTCTCCCTCAAAGCTTACGTTCAGAAGATCAATAGTTGCTGCGGAAATGTAAAAGAAAGCATAATTAGAGAGTTCAGTCAAGACGGCCTATTGTATGTACCAGTTCCACTGCAGCAGTCTAGAGGTAAACTTAAATGAATCGATCACAGTTACTCGCAACCATCCTACCGTGCTGTAATTCATGATGTACGTACAAGACCAGCAACATGATCAGACTCAACCAGTTGAACAGAAACAAAAACTTGCACTCAGGTTTCACCCACCGTCAGGATCTACAAACTGATCAGCAATAGCTGCCAATATCATGGAATCTACACCTCCCGAGAACAGCACGGCTAAGGGTGAAAACTGCTCATTCCTGACATCCGCTAGTGTGGAAGAAGCCCTTGAGTTCACTGAATGTAACAATTCCTTACACTACAAAACATTTCATATTGAGTCAGTTTGCAACTTATCTCCGCTTCAGACTCATTGAACAGGACAAAAAAAATGTGGTCGTTTCGAAAAACTGGCACCGACATTCTATCTACCAGGAGCGTAATGTGTGTTCTCCAGCAGTGGAGCTCGTAAGGATAATAAGAAAGTAAATGACAGGGCTTTCCGCATGGTCGTGCAAAGTATAATCTCCTCTCCTCACCTTTTTCGGTATTCTGATGCTTTCTGTTCTCCGTTTCACAGCTCGGCACAAAGCCTCTAGAATCCGCTTGGCCGGAGATTCTTGGTCGCTTCCTGTGAGATGATACCTCGTCAGCTCCTCGGTTGGGGTCACGAGAGCTCTTTCCCATGCAAGCAGGCTCTTCAGCAGAGGATCATGCCAGTCATGGACTCGAGCCCAGCCCTCCAGATGTTCAGCAGGCTTTACAGTGCCAGTCTCTTGTTCGTCTCTTAGGCAAGAGGCAGGTGTCAGATTTTGTTTCATAGACCCATCTTTCAAAGTAGATTTGAAGGTGATACTGTGAATCCCGCAAGTCACGTCGTCCCAGTAGCTGGACATATGCGCTGCATCATCATGTGCCTCTTGTCCTTCATGTTTGGTTCTTTCTGGTGCAACTGATGTCAGCAGTAGACGTGGATCCTCTGAAGAAGGTTTGTGGATCAGAAGGCTTCGTCGTCCAATCGCATCCCGTCCAAACCATAGCGTTCGTGACACTGCCTGAGTCACAAAGTCTGCTATCAGGGAAGCTTATCAGGCCAGAATTGGTGGTATGGCGAGCTTACATCATATGGAGCTACTAACTCCGCTTTATTATTGACGAAACAAGTCAATCACAATTTTTTTAATCAAACTCGGCACCGCTTTCGTGTGTGAAGGTCAGGCCCCTAAGGTTGATTGCAGTTTTTGAAGTGCTTCAGACTTGAAAGTATTCACCTTAGAATGACTTCAGAAACAAAAGCCTTCAGAAAATGAGAACACATAGCAGCTCAGTGCCAGATATTTACATCTGCTCTTAAAACTTGAGTTGAATAGTACTGTGAAGGTCAGACTAAATTCACTACATTCGTTCATTCTTAAAGTTCATTCTTAACGTGGATTGACAGGTCCGTGTGTACATTTTGCAAAGATGGAATAAGAATTTGCACGTGGAGCATTACAAAAAATCCCATGAATTCGACTCAGAGGAGGTGAGAATGCAATTTGTTAAGGCTCGGCTCTGTTTTGATCTCCCATCAGTCGGCCTTTGAACATAGAGAGAGGATTTCTTATCACTGTCCTCCTCCTTACAACTTGAATTTGTTACGCAAAAACTGGAATGGGCGTTCATTGTCTGCTGTGCCTACCAAATGATCACAGTGTCTTTCAATGCACAGACGCCTCAAAGTAAACATGATCGACATCCACAAGATCAGAACTCCACGAGAACAACTTGCTGATGTCAATACGTTAATACTTTATCATTGTTCCCCGGCACTGCCGGAGGAGAGGCTCAGTTTACTGTCAAAAGGAGCAATTGGCGAGTAGCATGTGCAGGTTTGACCGAACTCATGACTGAAGATGAATTCCAAGTTGGGAGACATGTACAAACCTGCCAGAAGATCAGAGCCCAAGGTCCTCGCAGCTGAGAAAGCAATCCTGGCACTGTCTGGTGGAGCTGGCTCGAATCCGAACATGCACATTCAATCAATTGGTGGTGCTGGCTATGACTGTGGCAGGCACAGTTGCAGCAGTTGCGGAGGGCCTGCATGATCACCTCCGTGTCGTTTTCACATGGCCTCACTTTCAAGCCATCAAAAATCTCCCCTGGTGCAAGGCCAGCCCAAATCAGGATTTAATAATTCATGGTCAGTGGCAGAACTCTTGGATTAGCAACCTCTGTGATGGTGATGCCGATGGCAGAGAAGATGAATTGGCGTCACGGCAAGAAATTGCTGAAGATCAGAGGGCAAGCATGCATTTACCGTTGTAGACGAGAACATTCCCGACGGAGTCCAGGAGGGGCTGTTGAACTGGCTTGTCTCCTCGAAGCTGCAAAGTGGCACCAACAAATTGAAGTCGAGCACCGCCAGTGGATTCCGACAACCCACATCTTCCCAGGTCCACGGCAATGTCGCCTTCAGGAGTTGCAACTGGTGGCGGATTCTCGGCATTGGAGGTACAGTCGATTAGAGTTCCGGTCTGCGGTTCATTGCGTGTGGTGGGATGGGGATGGGGGTGTTCGGTCGATTCTGATTTCTCCAAATTCTGAATTGGTGGTGAGAGGTGGAGAACTTGTCCGCCGATGTGGTCGGGCCCCCTGCGTTTGAGCCCGTTGCAGAGATCTTCATAATTCGGGCCCACTGGTTCTGCAGACTGAGGACGAATGCTTATCAGTTTGACACGCTCTAGCGTTCGTCGAGGTTCCGAATTATTTCGATCAAAGTTCGTGGACACTCAAAAGCTATGGTGGTTGATTCTGTGTGGTGACCTCTTTTGCAAATGCTGTTCCCGACGTACTAATTTTTTTTGTTGAGAACTTTAGATAGTGATTGATCGATGAATCACGAGAGTCAATGACATTATCTGAACGGTGACCTTCAAAATTTCAGACTCACCTTCGGTGATCTTTGACACGAAAAGCCGGAAGCTTCAGCCTCACCCGGGCCCAGATGTCCACGAATCGGAACACCGGTCACAATCAACCCAATTCCGCACATGTCGCTCGCTGGCAGAACAGCGAGCCTCAATTTCCCACGCACCCTTCGTCAGCACGAGACGACGATCATTCTTTCCACGAGACGGACAGCGTCGAATTCTCGACCGGAGCATGCACACGTGAAACCTAACATTCTTCCCGTCCCATGGCTGCCCACCCAAATTCACGAATATGTTGAGCGCTTGCCCTCGTCCAATTTTAGATTCGTTCTTCCATTCCTAGCACCAGATTGCAAAGAGTCCAAATCGGCGACGTGCCCTGAGAAAATCGTGTGGGACCGCAGCGAGCGCTACGGAACAGGACTCGTCAGGATTGTTTGTTTGTTGGGGTCGGATTGGGATTGTCCTGCGACAGGGGAGCTCCTGACAGCATCTGACGTCCTTCTTTTTAGGGTTTGAGACCCATGCCATCTCCACGAGTACTTATTAGGGTTTTGGGAAAGTATTCGACGAGCAAGATCGCGTTTCCTCTCGTTCAATGCGCTCGAACTGCGAGACTTGTAGGTGTCGTGGAAGCTTGGCGTGTCCACCTTTGCATTGATGTGAGATTGATTTCCTCGCCAAGGAGTGGTCCCGCGAGACTGGGCCTCTACCGTAGCGGAGACAGCGATGGAGGAGGACTGCGAAGAGTCTTCATCGGCACGTGCCTTTTACAGTTGCGATTTCGACTGGCAAGAGCTCCGGGAAGAGATCGAGGGGGCGAGGTCTCCTGAAGTTGGAAGCGTAGGCCTCAGCTCTTCAACTCATGCTTCGAGCGGTCCGGAGTGAGTGAGGGAGGCTGTGGTTGATTATCTGACTGTTTGATTCGTCCAACATTCTAAAAATTGCAGCGTCTAAACGATTGCAACCCCAAGAATTAAATGCTGGGGCTACCCGCACGTCAATTTTCCAGTTATTGTACCCTCGCCGTAGATAGATACCTTCAACTGTTGAAAGATGTGTGCCCGATCGAACACGCCCAGATTCATCGTGACACTAGGCCTTCGATGCCACCAACTGTCACGCAAGATGCATGAGGACGGGTGGTGATATGAGGCGAGAGCTGTCTCCTCCGCCTCATTGTGGTCCCAATTCTCTCGGTCTACTGCGGCATGTCACCATCCCCCAGCCTCACCTATCGCCGAACCTCCCCCTCACAGGTAAGTGCCAGATCAAACCACCCACCTTACAGCCATGTGAATGATTGATTGTGCCAGTTTCGCCATCGCGCGAAGCGTGACAACCCTACCCATGAACTAATCTATGCTTCCTTCCGACGGAGACGTGCCTGTCAAGATCGCCTGGCACAAGCGATCATGAAACCCTGCAGTTCACCGTGAGTGGGGGACCACCGAGTCGATAGCCACGGGCAGCTGGTGCGGAATTGAAAGCTATGATGCAAACTTTTTCCCGAAGATGAGGCCCTTTTGTGCCCGTGAAATCATCTTCTTAAAAGTCTGAGCGCATGTCCTGAATTCCACTGTTGAGTGAGGTATATGAACTGCAGCAGCCAAAACTCCCGGTACCATACTCACGATCATCTCTCTCCCCCCAAGCACCCAATCTCCCCGGGAAGTTCAGAGCCACACCTCTTCATGCATCGGTTGTATGTTTCATCGACGCAGATCAGTAGACAGTCTTTGATCTTTCCTGGCACTTTCCCATTATAGTTGGGTCCCGACACGTATAATCCAACCTGGAGCTCTAACTCCATGCATCGAATATCGTTTTGGAGATCCTTGTTTCCAGACTCCTGAGCGCCCATCCAAGCCCTACCATCGGCTGCAGTCACATAATTTTTGGGTGACAATGGGAGCCCAGACACAAGCCATCACCCATATCTCCGTACCTTCGTATGCTCTAAATGGCGATCTTCGGGGTTGGAGAAGGGGTTCACCTAATTCGATGCTGACCGATGTCAATCATTGTCCGTTCCAGGCAATTATATTCCTGAACAGAGCTCAATTGGGACTTGGAAGTGTCTGAGACGTACAAACCGATTCTCTCGGTCACGAAGTGCGGCATCTGTTCTTCAGCTCTGCAGCTCTGAAAACACCACACCACCATCGCCGAATAAATTGGCTGCCTGTCTTCCCGGTCGGCGTCGTTGGCCATTACCAATTGTTAAAGGCACATATGTCTCCCAACCCGCATTTCCTCGAAGTGTGTCTGTCGGTGCAAAAGGCATGAACTGAAACTGGACCTTCTTGGCCTCTGTATTGCATGAACTGCAGGCAAAGCTCATGTCACGGCAGAGATCTAGGCTGCATTCTGCCATAGACGTACAGAAGCACGGAAAATCTGCTGTTTCCAGTGAAGCGTGTGCGTAATTGGTCCGCAGTCAGGAAGACTTCTAGGAAGGGGTTGGGTTTGAGCTTTTACATCTCTCATTGCAGTTCCGTGGTTGGTTGCAGACCGGCATTGATGTGATACTGGAGGCGGAGCGAAGCCGCGGAGCTGATGGTGGAAAGCCAGCATTTTGTCCTTCGGCATGGGAAGCGTTTCACAGGAACCACTCGAAAGCTCTCTTCTTCAAAGTAGGGACCAGGAGCTGCATCCGGTGCTCCACCCAATGGCAGAAGGAATCTGTGAATTCCTAGCGTTGAACTTTCGGGACAAGAAATGCAGTAGTTACTCGCACTTGTCCCCCAGCTTGGATGGATTGTCTAACATCAGATCCTCTTGTGGGAAATAGGAGCGACGATATCTGGTGAAAGAGTTCCCTGAATTGGTCGACAATCCTCGAGCTATCTCTGTTTTAGAAGTTGGCTGTGGCACCGGGAGCTCTGTGGCTCCCATATTGCGGTATGTAATTGGATGGACCCCGACTGGCAGCAGTGTCATGATCATCATCTTTGAGATGCAGTCAGGGTAGCATCTCTGGAGTTCATTCTGACTGATTACCGGGATTAAAAATGATTCATCTGCGGAGAAGCACCACATCAATCTGATCATATTCGTTGTTACTAGAAGTCTTATGCAAGTCGTTTTTCAAGTGACACTGACTATTTTACCATAGATCGTAGCGACAAGCTGATGATGTTCATGGTTTCCGGTTCGCGATGAGCAGGGCGAACAAAAATGCGACGTGTTATGGATGCGATTGCAGTGCCGCTGCTTTGGATCGAGCCGAGCTGCTGGTGGCGGGTCAAGCTGGGTTGCTGGAGTCTCAGAACAAGAAGTTCCGGCCATTTTTGTGTGACATTTCCGTGCAATCTTTTCCCTCCTGGCTTTGCTGTTCATCCTGTCGAGCAACGTCCCTCCAGGTGCACACCCACTTGGAAATTCTGTACCGAGCTGATTGATTGACCGAGTATTCAAAATAGAGCAAGAGCAAGACTTTGGTAGCTGGCAGCGGAAATGTCCTCCAACCGAGGCTTGCATCTACTGCGTGACCAATCCTATTCTGCCATGGGTTTCAGAGCTGTGGTCCCAGCCAGGACGACAATGGTGTAAACAGTCGATCAACTTCCGCTGAGCAGATGCAGCAATCATCAGAAGGCTCGTGCTGTGTGGGGGGAGTGTCGATTGTGATGTTGGTAGGCTTCCAGTAACCTGTGAGTGACCATTTTCTTCAGTGCAGTACTCCATGCCATTCGTGAACTGGTCTCATTTCAGAGAGTGGTGGGCATTTCTCGGCAGCGCAAGAGTGAAACATGTTCAAGTGTTTTGGACCATGTTGACAGGACGTTGTGCGCTTGTAGATATTCACACTTTCTGCTATCCCTCTGGAAAGGATGCGGCATGTCTTGGCAGAATGTGCTGCGGTTCTCAGACCTGGCGGCCATCTCCTCTTTCGAGACTATGGTATAGTTCACATAAACCTGCTGATCTGATCTGATCCGATCCTTGTTCCACATCACTTCCCTTAATCCGTGAATGCTGAACGCAAAATGGTGGGTTCTCGTAGTCAAAGCTGACTGACTCACCCGTAGGTGCTCGTAGTGGAGATGTGGTAGAATGTCTCATGTAGTCGTCGTTCAGCCCCCTCCCTGACATGTCATCCACTAACATGCCTCGTGCAGGTCTGTACGACATGACCATGCTCAGATTCCCCTCAGCGCAGAAGCTTGCAGACAGGTTATACTTCCGGAAAGATGGCACTCTGTCCTACTTCTTCTCCCTGGAAGTCGTCAGAGAACTTTTGACGAGCGTGGGACTCGTCGAGGTGAGCATTGTCTGGCATGATACTTTTTCAGGTGCAGCGATGGACGGAAACAGCATTCTCTGCCTAGCACGCGAGATGGTTTTGAGAACCTGTTGCGATGTGCAGGAAGAGCTCCAGTACGCTTGTGTGCAGCTGGTCAACCGACGGAAGCAGGTTCCGATGAAGCGCGTTTGGGTGCACGCCAAATTCACGAAGCCCGAGACGGCCGCTGTCTGCACCCGATGAGTCTTGGTTTACAAGTTCTCAGGAGAAAGTATCTGCAGTGGCAGGAAAATGCATGACTGAGCAGTGTCCATCAGAAATATTGTGCACCTCCGACTTATTCTATGAGTAGGGAGTGTCACTTCAGATTGCTGAACCAACCAGGAACAACCAAGTACAACCAGGAACGAGAGCGTGAGCGTTCGTTGCCTTAGCAAGACGACATGTAGATCGATCGACTGAGTGGTCGACGAAAGGTCGGCAAATACCAGCCTCACGATGTTGTACCGGAAAACTCCTGAATGATATCATTGGTCTTCCATGGATGAATGCCAGGCCGAATTGAGGCCATGGGAATATCAGAGTGATTGATTGTTTGTGTCAACCTTTTTGGTGCTTGACTTTTCAATTGGACTCATGTCGAGAACCGATGTAGAGTGTGAGATGTTCAAGACGACCATGGGGCATGGTTAAACGCTACCAACCTTAGCGGTGGATTGGAATCCCAGTCACGTCCATCATTTCTTCACGTTTCGCTTTATGGAAACCATATAGGACGTGCACGCAAGTGGTCACAGATGTGGCAGCAAATGCTTCAGGGATTTTAGTCCTTGGGATCAAACTGTTCCCGCCATGTTGCCACCCTCTGCTGCCAATGGCCATCCCAACAGAGCAGATTGCCAGGAGGCAGGGAACAGCGGGCCACTCATCCATGTTTGGTCAAGGTGCAACTGTAAATTCGGTCTTGGATGGATGTGGCAGGGCTGGAAGATCTGTTGGCAGGGTGGGTGTCCAGGGTGCCTATCTGCAGCAATCATCGTGTCCAAAGTACAAGTCGGATTTGCTCAACTGGTTACGAACTAGCGGCAACCAATTTCGTTTCGCTAGCCGCTCGTAGTTCACCACCAAGTGATTCTGCAATCGGATGTATCAGAGTGTCGTCAATGACGCGTCCACCTTTTTTGAGATGGAGTCCAAGCAGTCTTCGTGACATTCTCCACCAGGAGAAACATGCGTGATCTCGACCATTGACAGCAACAGGCTCTGGTAGATTTGTCATCCACTCATTTGGCTCATCATCATGTGGGAACCTTTTGCAGTAACGGAAGGTGTCATCGCAGGATAGAGCTGAGTACCCGGGTCCTCTGAGCAAGCGCACTCATGAGTCCAGCCCGGTCGACATCGCATATGACTCCTAAGTTTGGGAATTCTCCATCATGAGCAGGGCCATCGATCTGAATTTCAGCCTCTGAGAAAGACAACATTGGCTGCTCATAAGCACCAGCCACAAGTGTAGTCTTTAGCTTCTGTACTGACTCTCATATCTCCACACTTGTCATCGGGTGTAGCTTCCTGAGGTTAATGAATCTGAGTGATCAAGAAACTGGAAGAAACTGTAATAGCTCTCATCCTTACACTTGTCATAGCTTCCTGAGGTTAATGAATCTGAGTGATCAAGAAAACTGGAAGAAACTGTAATAGCTCTCATCCTTACACTTGTCATCAGTGCGGTTTCCCGTGGTTTTAAACATTCGGCTGCTTGAGAAACTTGAGGCGATTGGAGGAACTTGGCCTGCAGAACTGTTCTCTGCTTCCACTTGAAAACAGAGCCTTTATTATATCATCTCGCATTGAAAGACAAAAGTACCCATCCGATCTACATTCTGAATTTTCTTTCGGCCTGTTGGCCAGAGGATTGCTCTCTGAGGTTCCAAATGATCACAGCGCGTAAGTGGTAGAGATGTCTAACTTTCACATGTTAACGTTAAGTCTCCCACCATAGACTATAAACGGGTTGTTTCCATTGTAGTAGGCAATTTCTTCAGTCGAGTGATTTACAGTGTCTGCAAAAGTATCTTAAGAGGGTAAGTGAGTTTACGATGAGCGAGTATTAACGAACATTGGTAATGACGATACTTACTGTAATATCGATGACTCTTGGACGAAGAGTATACATTGTACAAATTAAAAAACGGTATGACGAGGCAGTAAAAAGTGTCGATGAATGGTGAGTGGATGGCATAAATGAACGATCATTTCTCATCTTCACCCAAGAATGCTATTGGAAAATTTTGATGTGTGCAAGTTTTTTTCGAGAACTAAGTCTACGATGGTATTATAGTTCAGTACTTCACAGGATATAGTGGGAGATTTAATGTTGATATGTAAAACTTAGACATCTCTACCATTTACGTTCTACAATCAATAAGATATGATGGGATTTGAGAGAGATTTGTTACTTATCTATGAATTAAGATTGCATTCAGCTGACATTGTCTTTCAAAGGATGAATTGATTCTCATTGGATTCAAGTAACAGAGATGGCCATCAATCTTGCTTGTTTGGATTATTTTATTCAAAAGTTGGTCGTGCATGCAGTTATCTCAACCTGTTCCCATTCGTTAGATGCTTCCACATTGCCAGCCAGAATCCATGGATTTAGCGATGTCAACAGAGAGAAGTGAATAAGGCTAAGGAGGGTTCTTGACTCATGATTCTTTTAGAAAATGCACACGAAGGAAACATCTGGAAGAGGGTGAAAAACATTGTCGTCACGTTATACAATCTAATTTCATGGAACAGCAATAAATTACCTAATTCCCATCACAGACATAGCATACTAGGCAATATTTCCGCTCATGCTTTAGAGAGAAAGAACCTTCTCTCATGATGCCAAGATATTGGAAGCTCCGAATGGAAAATGAAAATGCAAGGCCATGGACATGTAGTAGAGAAACTTGCGAGCGTTGAACGAGGAAGACTCCCTAGATCTATCTCTATCTCTTTCTCTCTGGCCCATCATAAATACGAGCAAGCACAGATATTGTGACAGCAGATATTGTGGGCAAAGGAAGAGCCAGAGCCAGAGGCTAACGAGAGAAGTCCATATTCTGCCCGTACATGAAGCAAATGCAATCCTGCAATGTTGTACAAGTGAATGACCCGCTTCTGTCACTTCCAACAAACTGCTCGCTCCGTGAAAATTCTCTCTTTCCTTCGGAGGAGTGTATCATGATTTTGACCTCCACTTACTTGCGTGCCCCACTCACTCACGATCATGACGTTTACAGCGACCTCTCAACCAATTCACATCCCCTCCACCCTGGCCTTAATTGATTCATCTCATGGCAGTACTTGCCTTGCTCTTTCTCACTGTTTACCTTCACATACAACTTCAACCTCTTCCAATATAGATGAACATACAAACAAAGACATGTGTATTGGTTTAATTAACTAAATCCCTTTTCTCTTCTGGTTAACAATATTTCATGCAGAAAAGCAAAAGAAACTTTTGACCTGATTTCTGGCATTAGTGTAAAATTACAAATTTCGATTCAATAATAGGATTTGTACTACAAATGCAGGTTGTTCGAAATATGCAAATAAGAGAAATGTGTACTCTTTGACTATATCAAGAAGAATTTTGCTTGAAGACTTAAATTTCTAACCAATAACAAAATCATACAGTTAACTTTTCTCATATGAGAAAAGTTGAGTAAACAGATATGCTACATCTACATTGTAGCTTATTCCATTGACTTGTTGTTATGAGATGATAAGAAGATAATAATTTGATACAAAAGCATCAATTTAGTATTTTATATAGTGTTTTTAAATTATAGAAGTCATGTAACTTTTCAAATAAAGTTTCATGCAATTTAAAAATACATCAGGTAAAAATGGGTTATTTGCATCTTTTGAAATTGTTAAAAAAAAATGTGTGAAATGAATTTTATATTTTAGTTAAGATATTTTTGCAAGTTATTTATGTTTTTTTAAATTTAAAATTAAATAAAAACTTAAGATTAGGAAAATAAATCATTAAAATCATAGTAGATTGAAATTTATAATGATCAATAAAAAAATCAAAAAAATGACAGGTTTTTTTTTAGTTGTGATTTTTATCAAAAATAAACAGATTTAATTATGAAATATCACAATAAAAAATTCAATAAAAAATTTATTATAAAAAAATTTTTTAATGAATACTTATATATCTACATAAATTAAAGAAAAAATTAAAATTTAAAATTTGATGAAACATAAAGATTTAAAAGTATGATATGTTAGCATATATTATTACTCTAAATAATCATGATATATGCTAATTTTTTTCATTGCAATGTTTTTTCACTTCATGTTCAACGTAAAAAAAATAACATGTAACTTATGCATCCTCTACCAAACTCTATTTAAGTTGTTTATCTCCTTAAATATAAAAAAATATTTTTGAATGCATAAATATTAGTTTCATTGATGCATCTTGATTTCTAAATATAAAAAAACACAAAAATCATTCAGACTCAACGCCAACTATAAATTGTTCATTTCTCTAAAATTACGTACACAAATACATGAATCTTTAGTCAAAAACCTAGAAACAAAGTTAGATAAAAAGCTAGGTCTTACTCCTATGTATTCGGTAGCAAAGAAATTCCATTATCTTGATTATTTTCCAACTTGAGGTATCACTAACAATCTTACTTTAATTCATGTTTTTATATAATAACATTCATAACCTGTTTAATTATTTTCCAAAAGTTATGGGAAGAAACTTAACAAAAAGCTCATTTTAAACTAGAGCCTATTAGATTTAAGCTTTAAGCAAAATCTTATTAAGTAAAGATGAATAAAGCTAATAAAATTCCTAGTAAATTTTACTTCTGTTTCTTATGCAAAACCAGCATAATAACACAATGTACTTTAAAACTCTTCAAAGAAATATTTTAAATCAATGCATTCGCTAGATTGATTTTATTTTCAATCTTCTCTAGTTCAATTCTTCTATTAGAATCTACATATTTTGTAAAATGATAAATGATGTCGATATGTTCCATTCTACTATTAATCACTTGATTTGAAATAAGACGTAACACAATTTGACTATCACAATAAAGATTGACAATTTGACAAATTTTTTTGATTCTCATCTTAGTGAAAAGCTTATTCAATCAAATAGCTTTCTTTCTTGTTTCTTCTACAACTACATATCCAGCTTCCGCTTTGAACTGCTCCAACTTATGCATTCACAATCAAATGTAAACACATATATCATCGTAAACTTACTCTTGTCCGGATCTTGTTCATAGTTAGCATCAATCTAGCCAAGCAAATAATTTGATATTGTTTAATAAATCATCAAGAAATAATCCATAATCCTTAGTACATTCCAGGTACCCTAGAATCCATTTCACTTTTCCAATACACCGTACCTAGAAATGATATGTATGTATTTACCTTGCACATAGCTAGAGCAATATAGACCAGTGTAAAAATCGTCAAGATTGATGGGAAATTCAATCCATGTGATGCGTTCGTGAGTTCGTGAGTCAGTACTTTAATTACTGACTTTAATTTACATAATATTATTATGCACGAATAAAATAAAAAAGACATGAAGAGTCATTTGTAAATTTATTAGATTCATGTATTTTTATTTTATTATGTTTTTTATGCATCTTAGTTAAAATTAGCCCTAGTTTAAAGAATATTTTACGTGAAGTTTGGTATTTTACGAGTAATTATATACGTTTTGAGATTATTATGCATACGACATAAGTTAAAAAGAGAGTTTTTTAGTCATAATTCTAGTCAGAATTAATTTGAATAATCTGAATTTAGTATTTTTCAGCTATAGATTACAAAGAATGGCAAGACTTAGCTCGTTCAAATTATTATTTATAGGTTTTTTTAACAAAACCTTATGAATAAATATACGTAGCCGAGACAAACCACATATTCTGGATGTCGTCTCTAGGTGCATGATTGCATGTGAAGATTATTTTTTGTAATCTTGTGTGTATTTTTAACAATATGTATTA